TCTTATGAGACCCTCCCACACCCATATGTGTAGGACTCCAAATGATCACTATTAAATTTGGTACAAATCTCTATAAAAGTCAAAGCCCATACTCATGTGATAACTTTTCTAGAGATCTATGCTAAATTTAATGGTGATCCTTTGAAGTCCCACACATATGGATGGGAGATAGTCCTATAGGATATTGCTTATATATATATTTATATCTATATATATATATATATATAAGTGTGTTTCTATAAGGTTGAAACCTTAAACAATCCAATTAAGGAGCACTTTGAATTTTTATCATAGCATGTACTTTGTTGTAAAAATTCATAGTATTAACTTGAAATCTATTTTCATCAAATTTTTAAATTCCAAAAATGTTAAAATCAAGTAGATATATCAATATATGAAAATCTTGAAAATGGAAGGTATAGATAATGTGTTGCAAGATGCACTAAGTCTAAGATTCAAAAACTTTTTTTTTTCATATTCATAGATCTCAATGTCAAAATGATTGATTAGAAGGATTTTTCAACAATAAATAAACATTTTCGATAGATTTTTGAGGTGCATATGTGATTCTACATTTTAAGGTTGCAACTTTATATAAACTTTTCCCTATATAGGAATGATATCCTGCAATGGTTGTATAATAGTATAATACAACCACATATTTAGAAAACCATATTTTTGACATTTGTATGACTCCAAATTTTGCACACACATTTTCTTCATCCTTATAATCAATCCTATGGGAAAAAAACCTTTTAATCCTTATAATCAATCCTATGGGAAAAAAAACTCTTCATCCTTATAATCAATCCTATGGGAAAAAAACCTCTTCATCCTTATAATCAATCCTATGGGAAAAAAAATTTCAATTTGCGCTCTAGATATGGTCAAAATTAGTAGCCTCCAACAATGAATGTCGACCATCCATTTGGTGAACTTCAAGATCTAGACCTTAACAAATTCAAAATTAGTTTTTTTTCTTTTGTTAATCTAATGATGCTAATACTATATAAAAAAAATTGGGAATAAAAAAATCATTCTAAGGCCTATATCTAACCATCTAACTAAAATGGATGGCTTATATTAATTGGGCTACAAAAACAATTTCTAAGGCATTTTTTCAAAAGTTTCTTTTTTGTGATTGTTCATTAGAATGAAAAGAGTGTACATTTAAAATTTTAGGTCAAGCAAATGTCTCTAACACAATTTTTGAAGAAAATTGCATTATACTACTATACAACCATTGCATGAAATCATTTCCCATATATATATATAAAGTTGGTACATGTTGTAATATATTATCTGGACAGTCCATTTTCAAAACTAAATAAATGTTTTGTAGCAATGTTCCAAAAAATGCTAGGTGGCACCAAGACGGCTAGGAAGGTTTAGGAAGCCTAGTGCCTTGGCAACCGCACAGAACCTGAGCGGCCTTGGTTCAAAAGGGTAAGACACTGAAATACCAGTCACAGTCTCCTAGGCACCTGCCCAAGTATCTTGGGTGCTTGCGTAGGTGGGGTATTAGGCGGGCGCCTAGGGCCCCTAGGTGAGCGTACCTAAGCACTTGCTTAGGTGGGCGCCCAATGACCCTAGGTGGGTGTACTTGGTGCTTGTCTAGGTGGGGTACTAGGCGGGACTCTAGAGACCCTAGGTGGGCACCCAAGGACAATCTGCGAGACAACCGATCTAGTTAGTCTGTCCAAGCTTGGGGAGTGCAGCTAGCTCTGCGGACAACTTTTGCACTGGGCAAACCACTTTCTGAATTAATGGTTTATAGATATGCTCAATTTGTATATTTTGGGAACTCTGAACATAATTATTAGTAGAAAAACTCTTCCCGACGCCTATAGGCAGAAATGAGCAGGGATTTTGTCTACCGTCATCACCATCCAAACTTTATCGCACAACAGTCACAATTATACGGTAGTGTTTTAATTTTAATTTTTTCTATAAATCCAAATTACTTGAAATTTGGAGCGTGTGTACATCTTAGTGAAGCGCACCTAATAAAAATATGAAAAAATAATTCACATAATATAAATTGACTAAAATATCCCCCAAAAACTTATGAAGGTATTTTGGTTAATTTATATTTTACGAGTTATTTTTTTCATATTTTTATGAAGTACGTCTCACTAAGATGTACACACAATTTAAATTTTAAATCATTTTGATTAGTAAATAAAAACTTAAAATTAAAATATTACTACACAAGACGATTGTGAGCCTATACGTTTTAGTAACTTCCTTATAGGTAATAACAGGGTTTGATGTTATTACAATATTTTCTAACTTCAAAACAATATCTTTAGGCATGGTTTGGGAGTTGAATGGGTAGTGCACAAACCTCACCCATGAAAGAAAAGGAGTTGATAGTTGACCCAATCCTTTGTTTTTTATTTGAGCGAGTCACGTACACGTCTAGATGGTGAGCTTTGTACAATATGGGGCGCCTACAAGCCACGTGTCCACCAAGCATTCGCAATAAACGCCAACAACACCGGACGATCGGCGTATTTAACGGGGAAACAACAACAGCGGTGCGGTGCGGTGCGGTGCGGTGGATGGCTAGTGGACTCCCACTATCCTCCAAACTCCATAACCCTAACCTTCCCATCCCATCCCATCCCATGACATGCTTTTTTTAAGCTTACGGGACTTGGACCCCACCCCTGCTCATATTTTGAGTGGAGTAATACTCCTGTGAGAAAATCTCTTAAGATTATTATTAAATTTAATACAGATTTTAATGATGATGATTTACGGTCATACACACATGAATGTAAGAGAATCTCACAAGGTTATTTCCACCTGCCAAAATATTTTTTTTTCTTTTCTATAGGTTAGTAGTGGGAATGGAGGGTGGGATGAGGGGTCAGCCCCTTAAACGCCTACCCCAACCCTATTCCCAAAGGAAAACGATTTTACTTGGTGACCGTATTTTAAGATTCCAAATTTGGAGATATAACCTCTTCAACCACTTCAAGCTTTAGTAAAAATAGTTTTTGGATTGAACTCTCTGTATATAGAAAAAAAATTAATGTCCCAAGATTGAGCAGATATCATATGATTTTTGAAACGCAAGATCCAAGTGTCAAAAAAGTCGATTTTTTTTTTGAGAATAATCATCTTGCTATAGTTCTCAAACGTTTTTATAGAAAAAATCTTCGCAAGTTTTTCAAATACGCGTGATTTTCTACCGAAATAATAATATATACACATAAAGTTTATATAAAGAAATATTTTTATTTGTAGAAGTATCGTTGCCACCAATGATTTAAAAAACGACAAGATGGCATGAAATCGCCCATTCCAACCCAAAAATCAATCACCATGTTCCAATTCTGTATATATATATAAGAAAATGGTTAAGTCTAAAAAGGAACCGACGATTTAATACAGTAAACTGACTATTTTCTACTATAAAACAGCGATTCGTACAGCCGATTCACCAATCCAGACCTGCTCCTTTTAGCCGGTTCACTGTTTTTTCTATACAGTAAAACAGCGATTCAGACTACCGATTCACTGATTCAGATCAATTTTTTAGATGCCTGATACGGGTCATTAATTTGTTTTGGTCGGTTCACTATTTTTTCTATACAGTAAAACAGTGATCCGGAATACCAATTCACTTATTCATATCAATTTCTTGGATGCTTGATACGGGTCACCGATCTATTTTGGTCGGTTCACTATTTTTTCAATATAGTAAAACAGCGATCCGGACTACCGATCCACTGATTCAGATCAATTTTTGAGATGCCTGATAAGGATCACCGATCCATTTTTATAAATCACTAGTTGCTCCGCAATTTATACCGCATATTTTGACATTGTGAGTCTTGCACCATTTAACTAAAATAGATAATGTTTAACACTACAACTTTACTACCTTACTTCTAAAAGGAATAACATAAAGTATAAACTACATGTAACTCTTGTGTGCTACCATTTGGGTCTTGCTATGCTTTATCGGCCAATCCAACTTGTCCGATTGATGTGTCGTTTCCCCACTTTAAAGGCTACCGATTTTCAGATGTCCCATCACGATTACATATCAACAATACGATACTGAGGGGTGGGATATTATATCTTCCCTTAAATAGAGGCTGCTTTACCTTGACCCTATACTTTTCAACCGTGTGCTTTTGGCATACGATGACTGTGGGACTATCAAACACATGTCTAAAACCGAAATGATACTCAAAAGGAATTGCTTTGGTATTTTTTTTTGGAAAAAATATATATAAATAAATAAATTATCTTTGGTACAAAGAAGTTTTTAAAAATTTGAGTTTTGTAAGGCTACACCATTTGATGGTGCAGACATTTAAAGTGCTCAGTATTTTTTGACACTAAACACCTTTGTAATACAAAATTTTTCAAGTATGGGTATTTTTTATCATTTAGAAGGGTAAAATGGATATTTTTATAAAAACAGTGATATTCTATTAGTAGTTAAAAACAATTCATGTATCTTGTAGATGATGTCACACATTATATCGGTGTTGTCTTTCGTGCCTAAATATATATAATTTTTTGGGTAGATTAGTGGGATCACTGTCCCGACCTGTTTGCGCCTTAGTATATTTAAAAAATAGTTCAAAAAGGAAAACACACATCTTATAGTTGAAAAAAAAATACCTCGCAATGATCAAAAGGAAAATTACAAAAAACATCCTAAAATGGACTATCTATGTAATTTACCCACCCTAATCTTTTCTCTCACTTTTTCCCCAAAACAACATGTCCTCGCAAAAACCCCCAAGGTAAAAAGTTGTTATTTTCTGAATGGAAATGCCCTTCCCGTACAAACCAAATCAATTCGCGGGTCCCGAGTAGCATACTGTCGGAGCTCGTTTTTGCACTGTCGGAGTGCATTCTCATAATCCCGGAGTGGTGTGGCTCAGACCTGCATTGTCGGAACGCACATTCAAAATGCTGGAGCTCTTGTTTATACTATCGGAGCACGGTCCTCCATTGCTGGAGCGCTGTGGCTCCATAGACTTCATTGCAAGAGCGGGATGTCGAAGAGCGTCTTTGCACTACCGGAGCGAGTTCTCATAATGCCGGAACGCTGTGGCTCAGACCTGCATTGCCAGAACGTACATTCAAAATGCCGGAGCGCATGTTTGTATTGTCGGATCGCGTGTGAAAATAGGAGAGAGAAGGTCGTGTGAAAACAAACAAGGGTAGTTTAGTCTTATTTCATGCTACTTTTAGGTTGGGGGGCTATTTGTGAGGAAATATTGTTTGGGGAAAAAAGTGAGAGAAAAAATTGAAATGGGGTAAGTTGCATACATAGTTCATTTTAAAATGTTTTTTTTTTTTTTGTAATTTTACCATGATCAAAACCACTATCAATGGATTGCCAACGTTATACATCCAGTTTATTAGGGAAATATCACAACAACAAAGCGTAAGGAAATAGAAAAAATTTACATAAGAGCGAGGCTCCAAACAATCAAATTAAGGCGCACCTAAAAAATTTATTAAAAGAGGTTGTTTCAATGTCTAAAAATCATTATATCAATCATCGACCTCAAGATGTATGGACACAAAAAAAAATGGATTTTAAAACCTGAAAATAATGCATATTCTAGACCCTCTCAAAATTTTCAAATGTTCATAAATATGCTCCATCTACACTATTTTTTAGGCTTTAAAATTTACAATTAGGAATGAAAATAAAATTTTAGCCCATTACAAAAAAAAAAAATAAAAAAAAATCAAACAATATCTTTCGACACCATTTAAAAGTGCACCTTATTTTGATTGTTTAGGACCTCAGCCTTATACATACCAACTCACAAGAAAATTCTTCATTGAGAAAAACATCTTAGACGTGATCGGCCGGCAAATTTGGGTTCTTCCGGATAACGCCGGTCCACTCCCGGCCTGGGCCGGCGGCATCGAGTTAATGGCAGGCTCCATCGCAAATGATGGAAGTCAAAAGCGTGTCTGCACATGACAAAAATGAAAAAAACCAAACAATAAAAAAAGGAAGCTCCATTTCAATTGTCAAAACACGACAGAGAGGTTCTGGTTGAACGTAAGAGAGAGGGGTTAAATGTTGGGGAATCCGAACGCCCTTTGGAAACGAGATAGGTGCTTATTTTCGTGTCGTTAATGGCGTCAATCCGCGTTAATGCGCACCTCGATACATGGCCGATTCCTGAATTCCAGCAATTCTAGGGTTTTAAAGCTCTGAAAATTAGGGTTTTCATGTCCGTTATCTTTTTCGTTGTGATCAATTGTTCATGTCGATCTTTATTTTTTGATCGACATCTAGGGTTCCATTCCCCCCCGTCGTTTTGGAATTAGCATTTGGAATTTTGCAGTCTTGTGCTCCACTATATTCAATACGTTTGATTAGGTGTTGTTTAGCGATGAATTTCGATTTATTCGGGCCTGGATGTCTGGGGTTTCTTTTTGTTCTTTGATTTCTTCGAGTTTGAACTTGATGGTTGTAAGACGGTTACGCTGAATTTTCCAGTTATTTGTTGCATTTCTGTTGATTTACAGTGGAGAAACGGTTTTAGATCCTGCTGATTATTCTTTGATTTATTTGTTTCGTTTCATTTTTCATTTGAATTTGCTATAGGAAAAGAAAGATAATTTACAATCAGATCTTTGCTGCGTGTTTATCTGTTAATGCTCATCCTGCTCCTTTACTGTAAAAATTGATTTTGGTGATTTAACTGAGGGCACTGATTTCTATTTTTGGATTTTTTTATTCTTTTGTTAAAATTATAGTTTTTTGACGTCTGGTCGTTGTTTTAGTTTAATTTCTCTGTCAGGGGCCTTTGATTTTTTTTTGTTTCCTTCTGGTAAACATTACAAGTTTTATCAACACAGCACATTTATCTTTTTCCTATTGACTTTGATGCTCTTGTGAGTTTCTGAAATTTTCCATAGTTTTGTTTTTTTCTGCTAAGAACTCAGCATAGTACTTGTTACTTGAGTCTTCATTTTAGTTTCAGTTTTTCCTATTTCAATATCATCCATAGTTCCTCTCTATCAAAGCAACTCTGTCCATCAGTGGTTTACGAGATCTAATTCCTTATATTGAGGGCATATTTTTCCCACCAGTACTGTGTAAGTCATCAGGCTTGATCACGGACGGATCAGGAAATATACAGCTTCACTATCTCTTTGGCATGTAATATTTATTGGTGAAATCAGATGAGAAAACAAGATCAGGAAAGGTTCATAAGAACTTGAGGAGATCGATTTCTCATGGGAAACACATGCGTGGGTCCAAGCCTTACAAAGAATGGATTTTTTCAAACAGTTTCGGCTGCGGCCTCTGGCCCTTACAGGTTGTGGAGGGCAAGAACTCCAGAGGAGATGCTCCCTCCTGATAACACCGAAAACACAGATGACCATCATCAGCCCAATTCAAAAACAGAGACCCCACCAATTCCCAACAAACCACCTGAAACTGTTAGAATACAAGAAAATGAGAGCAACCCCACCGAACCAACAAAACCCAAGAAGCCAAACTCTGCAGTAATGAAGAGAATTTCGAGTGCTGGTCTCCAAATTGATTCAGTGTTGCAGAGGAAAACCGAGATTTTGAAGGAGCACTATTCACTGGGCAGAAAGCTTGGGCAGGGTCAATTTGGTACCACTTTCCTCTGCATTGAGAAAGCCACCGGTAAAGAGTATGCATGCAAGTCAATAGCAAAGAGGAAATTGACCACTGAAGAGGATGTCGAAGATGTAAGAAGGGAGATACAAATAATGCACCATCTGGCTGGTCACCCCAATGTGATTTCTATCAAAGGAGCATATGAGGATGCAGTTGCTGTTCATGTGGTAATGGAGCTTTGTGCAGGTGGGGAGCTCTTTGATAGGATCATTCAGAGGGGTCATTACTCTGAGAGAAAGGCAGCCGATCTTGCCAGGATCATTGTTAGTGTAGTGGAAGCTTGCCACTCTTTAGGGGTAATGCATCGTGACCTGAAGCCTGAGAACTTCCTATTCGTAGACACAAATGAGGAGTCACCTCTAAAAACCATCGATTTTGGGTTGTCAATATTTTTTAAGCCTGGTAATATGGACTTCTCGCCCCATCGCTCGTTTTTATCTGTTTTGAGTAGTTAGTTCTGTTCTTTGGAGTTTTGTGGTAAATATTCCATCTTGCTTAAGCTCTTATTAATTTTGGATTTATATGCACATGATTGTTAGAAGAGAATGATAAAAGTAGTTTTTTGGGGGGGAATTGGCAATGCCACTTTGTATCATGCCCATTACATGACAACACGAGAACACTTGTCTCCTATTCTTCAAAAAAAAAAAAGACACGAGAACACTAGTCTCAAAGTACAATGGAACTTCATGCCATGGTTTTTTAATCGTATGAACTTGTAGAGACGATAACAGCAACACCTAGACTAAAGTGTGGGAGTGTCCGAGGTTGCTCGAGAGGATTTGTCTCCTCGTGCTAGTGTACAGACATGTAACAAAGTCATGGTCTTTCATTTAATGATTCTTTAGGTGTAGAAGGCATTATGTCTATGCATCATTTGTTTTCTCATGCTGGTTTACAAGATTTAAAAATGCCATGCTCTTTCATATAATTATTAGTTAAGGTTAGAAGGCATTATGCCTATGCTTCATGTGGATGATTATGTGGATATGGTTGTTAAATATGCAACTTTTCATGCCAAACCTAGCAAGTTACAGGTTTCTGTTGAAGTTAATGCTGTAACATTAGCTCCTATGGAGTTGTGGTTGTATGCCACTAAAAATTTATATAACGATCGTCGTTCCAAAAGGTTAAAGGGATTTTTGGGTTAAAGTATTATTGGGTGGAGTGGATCCATATTGAACCATCGCATCTATCAAACGATCGTCTCTTTTCTTAAGTAATCTCTAGTTTTACATTGTCTTTTACTTCTTTTTTTTCCATGTTGTGAGCTTTTTCTAATTTTGGTCAATTTAGCAACATATTGTATTGCTTGAGGAGAATTTGATTATTTTTTTCCTCTTTTAGTGGAAATGTTTAAAGGCTGACTCCTGTTCATCCTCAACACAGTGTTGCTTGTGTCAATCGACTCCATTATATTTTGTGTATAAGTGATTAATGTCAGAAGTATCATCCTGTTGTATTTCATGTTTTATGCTTTCTGGATGGATGCATTTTGTCGTTTGCATCTGTTTAACCATCAAATCAAAACCTTGTTTTCCAATTCATTAGAAGTATGCTTTCACTGTTTTTTTGGAGGGTTCATGTTTTTTCTGGAGCATTTCTAAGCTGACATGCATTACTTGGTATCTATAGTTAATTTTAGCTTATGTTATTAAATGGCGTATTTTACCTTCCAATTAGCATAGTTTCTCAAATATTACCATCTGTTTGAATTGCCAATATTCTACCTTGCTCCATCAATTTGTAATGATTGTTCTGGATAGTAGTGCTTGTGGTCCTTTACTTTGAAACATGAGATGGGTTGTGTGGACTCTTAATTTCTATTTCTCAAGATCTACAAGTTCTTTTTTAGCAATTTGTGGGAGTGTCCTACTATAAATATTCATGGGCTATGGTTCAATGGGCTCTACCAGTTTATATTATGGGTTTTTGTTCTCGGGGATATTGGGTTGAGCTTCACCCTGAACTATTCAGCCACAGTTTCAAAATGACATGTGCTTTGAGATACTTGACTCCTCACAAGAGGAGCATGGTTGTGGGCATGGACATTGATTGTGGGTATAATTGGCATTTGTCAACAAGCATGATTGCGGTGGGCAAGTTAGTATTCTTAGTATTATATTCCAAGACTTGTTCCAAATGTTCCAAACTATTCATTGTATCTAAGGCCATGCTTGGTGTGCATGAAAAGACTTCATGGGAAACATTTTCATGTGTAAAAATTCCCTCATGTGATCAGTTGTAGGAGTATTTTCACACCAACTCGCTGCTAATTGGTGTGAAAAGATGTACAAGAACCAATTGATTTGAAAATACTTCTTAGGAAATATTTTCATACATACCAAACCAAACATGCCCTAAGTGATTTGTGCTGGTGAAGGGCTGGTTGAGCGAGCTATTTTTTTCATTAGAGAACCCAATTTTTTAACTGATAGTTTAGTAGAATATCCAACTTCCTTCAGTACGAAAACTGAAAGCAACAAATCCTTGTTATTTGAGTTACTATTACTCCTGCACACTCCCAGGATGGTTGGCACAAGATGCTTTCTGCTTTATCTTGTTTGTGTCGTAATTGTTCTGATATGTGATTAGGAATTGACAGGTCTTTTTTGCAGGGGAGACATTCACTGATGTGGTTGGGAGCCCATACTATGTTGCACCAGAAGTACTACGGAAGCATTATGGTCCAGAGGCTGATGTTTGGAGTGCTGGAGTAATCATCTACATTCTTTTAAGTGGAGTCCCTCCGTTTTGGGCCGGTGAGATTTCAAAGGGCTCTATACTCTTTGGGTTCACTATCTTATTGAGCTGGCTTTCTTTCTCTTCTTTGATTATTTACGCCTGCATCATTGACTGATTGTGTTATTCCTCCTTGGGATTACAGAAACCGAACAAGGAATATTTGAACAAGTTTTACATGGTGAACTTGATTTTTCATCAGAACCTTGGCCTGGAATTTCGGAAAGTGCGAAGGACCTAATCAAAAGAATGTTAATGAGAAACCCGAAAAAGCGGTTAACTGCCCATGAAGTTCTCTGTGAGTACCATTGGGTTCTCACCTTTGTACTGCTTGTTCTAAGAAAATCATCTCTGCATATTTGTAGAAAGTTCCATTTTTTAGGTGATTTGTCATTGTGTTGACTTATGACCCAAAGTTCAGCATAACTCAAGTTCTTGATTTTTCTCATTAGTCCTATTAGTCTCGATTGCTTTGCAATGGGTAAACCACCAGAATGATTTCCATGCTAGTTAAACTTATTCATTTTTTTAATGTGCTAATTGAGAGGCAATGAAAAATCGATTTCTTGTTATTTAGATTAAAAATAATGTATTATTTTCAATTAATTTGTAGGGGAAATATCACTTAAATTCTTAAACTTCCTTACAAAATCATTAAGTTGGTCAAATAATATCATTTACCGTTGCGATATTTACTTTTTAAGTTTCATTACACTTAGTTGCCTTCTCAAAAAATTTCTCGAAACCATATTAAAAAAAAATTTCCTTGAAACTTCCTAAGTTGCCCCTGTTTAAAGTTGGAATCCTGGACAACCAGGGGCATTTTGATAATTGGGTCCCACTTAAGTGGAATTTATAAAATGATGATAGTACTGCTGGTTGTTTAGTGCTTGTAATACAGAAATTCCAAATGATGATGATACACCTGGTTGTTTGGGGTTCACAACACAGAACTTTTGTGTTAATTGTAAACCCTTGTTTTGTTTTCTGGTTTTCCCAAACCCGAACAACTGGGGGAATTGTTTAATCATTCAGGTTCCCTACCCTTAACAGGAGCAATTTGGGAAATTTAAAGAAACCTATTTTTAAGTCATTTTAGCATTACTTTAATAACTGTCTTTAGTATTTTTAAATTTCTCATGTTTAATTTATTTGTAATATGCTTATTATTAAAAGAAATAACTTATAGATAAACATTTGAATTAAAAATAACCATACTTCTTCCAAATACTAAGCGCACTTAAATTACATGAATTAATTACTAATTAATTTAATGTTTTTTTATATTTGATTAAGAATATTATTCATTGTGATGAGTTCCTATTTAACTTTACAGGATCTCACTTGTGAATACTTCTTTTAGTGTGTCTTAAGTTCCTAATTTTCTTAAATTAAGATACATAGCATGACCAATTCTCATGTTGCTATCTTTTATTTCTATAGCATTTTTAGGAAAATATATTATTTGGGCAACACATTTGAGAGATATTTTAGAGGAGACAATTTTTCTTGGCAAAATCTATCATTAAGTTGCACAAAGAAGGAAGTTTTTTATTAAGGACTAAGGACTAGGAGCATTATATCTAGGGTCTGCTCCAGAAACTCTCATTCACAAGACTTGGTTGGTTACAGAGGGAGAAAGACTATTGACCTTAAGTCCAGATAGGATCTGTCTTAAACCTCCCTTTGTGTGGTCTTGAAACCTTGGAAGGATCCCAGGACTGTCCAACAACACAGTGTCAGTTTCTCTCTAACATTGAAACCATCTTCGGTACTGCTGTTTTGCAGGTTCACTTGAGTGAGCCTTGATGGTGGTACAGTGAATTGCAGTGAAATTTTGAACACTCAAAAGGACTCTAGTTGATGCAGACAAAATTTCAGCTCATAACCATTTGTAAATAATGAGATATTAATGTATATGTGATTGTAGCCACTGTTTAACTGCAACTTTCATATGTCTCGTGTTCTCTCTATCTCCTACTTTCATATGTCTCCTGTTCTCTCTATCTCGTCCAACAATATAATCTAGAAGCCGAATCTACTGGGAAGGCCTTGGGTATAAGGAGAGACTTATGAAACCTAAACTGATGAGATCAAAGCAAAGAACATCAGGACTTATTTCTCCATGATGACAGACAAACAGAGATCCTAATAACATTCATGCATGCTCCTCGCACATACACTCTAAAGTAGTTTGTCTTGGTTTTTGAGTTATAAAATTCCATTTGTGGTGTGTTCCAGTTTTAAATCCCTTGCTGACCTACCCAGAAAATAAAAATTCCATTTGTTTGATTGAAGAAATCAGAGCAATTTGGTTTTATGTTTTCTAAAAGCATAACTGGTAATAACGTTAATATTTTCTGCCCTATTAATCTACAAAGGTTTGCTGCCCTGATTCTTGTTTATGGCATATCCTTGCAGGCCACCCATGGGTGCAGGATGATGGGGTGGCTCCAGATAAGCCTCTTGATTCTGCCGTCCTAACACGCTTGAAGCAATTCTCTGCCATGAACAAGCTCAAGAAAATGGCTCTCAGAGTAAGGCTCAAGTCTCAACCTCCCTATATGGATGTTCTCATGCACTTTATAGGTTTAGGTGTATTAATAGTTGTGGAATTTGTATGTCTTGCACATGAAAGGCTTAATATTGACATTTTTCCAATCACAGTCGTGCTCCAATGGAAGTTATAACTGATGTCGCTACAATGTTAAGACCATGCTTTATATGACATTTTTAATATTAGCTTTGGCAAAAAACAAAAATACTTTCCCTCCCAATAATATTTTTTACAGTATGTAAGGACATTTTTCAATATGAACGTGTAGCATGTTAATATACTGTGACACTAAGGGAGTAATCGATATGTCAGGAATCATCCAAATATACATTAGGGTTCTTAGGTACTACTGCTATTGTTTTGAATATTTGAGTCTAACCAATTCTTATAATTGGTATAGGTTATTGCCGAGAGTCTTTCAGAGGAAGAAATTGCTGGCCTGAAAGAGATGTTCAAGATGATTGACACAGATGGCAGTGGGTCGATCACCTTTGAGGAACTTAAAGCTGGCTTGAAAAGAGTGGGTGCTAACCTCACGGAGTCTGAAATCCATGCTCTAATGGAAGCAGTAAGTCCATTCTGAGTTCCTCCTGTGACCTTTTGAGGATGCCTGAGAATACAAATGGCAATTTCATTTATTTACTCTCTTTTTGTTCCCAGTTTTGTTGCTATGCATATCAACAAAATACTGAGATGTGCAGATATTTTTGCATATATGCAAAAGAGACATGTAGAGATGAGCATGTTTCTCTTTTCCTAAAATAACAAGCAAATAATCATAATTTTCTCTCCTTGTTCTTTTTCTTTGTCTTTTTGTTGTTTGCAGGCGGATATAGACAATAATGGCAGTATTGATTACGGAGAATTCATTGCAGCCACACTGCATTTAAACAAAGCTGAGCGGGAGGATCATCTATTTGCAGCTTTCTCATATTTTGACAAAGATGGAAGTGGATACATCACACAAGATGAGCTTCAACAAGCTTGTGAGGAATTTGGTATAGAAGACGTGCGCCTAGAGGAAATGATCCGAGAAGTGGATCAGGATAATGTATCTCTCTCTCTCTCTCTGGATAAATCAAAGTCCCCATGGCTCACACGTGCTCACACGTACACACACCTTTGTATGGTTTTGTTTTTTGAATTTTTTCAAGTTGACAGTCAAGGTGGTATTCTTTTAGACTAACAAACTGAGTTGGGGGTTGTAGTAAGTTTCCTTGTTAATTTCACAATCTCGTGTTTCTGTGTTTTGCAGGATGGAAGTATAGATTACAATGAGTTTGTGGCCATGATGCAGAAAGGTAACCCCGTGTTTGGTAAGAAAGGCCTGCAAAATAATTTCAGCATTGGTTTTCGGGGGGCACTGAAACTTGGGTGAACCCCCCCCTCTCTGTTTTCTACTAGGATACAAATTTGTAAAGATTGGCCAGAGCATGAAAGAGCGTAGTTGGTGTTCATGTTGAGAGAGAGAGACAATCTCTTTTAGCTGGCTGTTTGTATTTATTTTAGGTTTTCTCTTTTTCTTTCGTTCTTTTACCATGATTTGGATCAGAGGGGATGTAGTGTGTGTCCTGTCTCTGTATAAAAGAACAGTTCTTTCTTCGCCTGTTTTGAGGCAATGTAACCTCACCTTGAAGAATCCGTCTTGATGAGAAGTGCCATGATTGTTCATTTATTATGGAAACTTGCATGCAAATGAACAGCGCCATTTTTGCTATCCCATTGCATACGGGATCTATTTCCTTTTACTGTAAATTTGAATTCTATATCTATCATTGGACTTTAATTTTCTGCCGAAGTTTTCTTTGAGCTGTGGTGCAGTTCCCTACTTTCGGAGATTCTGGTTAATAATGTTGTGGTTTATATATCGCGGCTTTAGCAAAATGGTTTCACAAACTAACCAGTTTGGGCTAACTGGTTTTCAATTAGCGATCTGCATCAACTCAGTGATTTTTAACAAAATCATCAAGAGCCTACTTATGTGAGACGAATTTCACAAGGCATATCGCATTCTGAAAGCCATGCTGGAGCAGGAACTTTGGTCTCATACAATATTCAGCCTGGTAGAGGAGAGATTTATTTTTTGAGGGATGCATGTTTTCAACTGCCCATATGATAGGCAGAGAGAGGTTATTTGAGGGAAGCAGATTTTCAACTGCACGTATGATATGTGTCTATGTCAGTGTTTACAAAATCGAACCGGAATAGTTACTTGGACATGGGCTTGGAAGCGATTTACCCGGCCTAACTGGTAAATCGGCCGATTCAACAGCTCTAACCCGGCAAGTCATGTGCGGTCAAAAAATGTTGAAAAAAATACAAAAAAAATCTACTAAAATAAAAAAAGCAGATAAATAATGATTAAAACAAACGTATTCAAATGAAGTTGAAAATTAATGAAAAGAATGGATTTGAACCTATTTTAGATTTTTCAATGGCTATTTTAAAAAAATTTTCAAAAAAGATGGGAAAATATAAAAGTGAGTATTGATGATGATCAAAACATTTTTTAATTTTTACCACAATATCAAGAATATTTAAAAATGTATTACAAATCAAATTTCTTATTTTTGAGAATATCTATATATATATTTTTTAAATCCCGGTTGATCATCCTAACCGTTCAAAACCGGCCGGTTCCGATCTAACTGGACGGTTTTGTGAACAATGGTCTATGTCTATGAATGGACGAAATTGTCTTAAAGGCATTTGTCATGGGCAGTTGACACCCCATTGCATCTTTTAATGGCGTGATAAGAGTCCTAGCGTGGCAATCGACCCGACCAGATTTAGGACCCGACAAGTGGACCGGCCTAAGGTCTTGGTATGGGTTTAATTTTTGGATCCAATTGGTTGGGTGTGGGTCCAAAATCTAGACCCAAACATTATTCGAGTCCAGGTCCAACCGGATCTGATCCGTACTTATAAACTATTGGAGATAAAATACTTAACTTTGATGATATTTGTTAGCTTCAATTATCGTTCGATTTCAACAATATTTTTTTTTAACAAGCTTAAAGTGAAATGGAGGGTGGGATGTTACGTTGAGGCTCCTGCCCCGCTAATCAGCCGGGCCGCCAACCCCGTTCCCATTACTAGCTGTTTTTTTACTGCGTGGTAATTTCCCTCCTCCCTCTTCACTTGTTAGATAAGTACGGAGGCAGAGTCTTTGGTGAGTCAGCATACTCAGCTGTTGATGTGCGTCCTTCCTTCAAAATCAATCTTAAAGATAGATTTTATATCCACAATTTTGGGTTTTGTTAATCTCAGGTATGGTGATGATCATTAATCTTGGATTTTTTATTTCCCTGAAAAATGAAATGGTATTTTAAATTTCTTATTTTTCTAACCATGCATTTTGACTTATGGTGAATGCACATTTTTGTGACACCCAACGTTGAGATGGACGTCTGATGCGTAAGGAGACGCAAAAATTTTGGTGAGCCGGTTGACTCGCCAAAATTGGTTCCACTATAAGTAGGAGGCGAAATATTAAATGGAAAAACTATGTGATCAAAATATTATTCTTGGTGCAACGAGGTTACCATGGTTGACTATTGAATGAAAATCAGTTAACTTGGTGTGGTGCAATCGACTATGCTTAGCGTCCACGAGGGATTTTTTTGAACTCCACAATATATTTCAAACTGTCGAATTTCACATGGGTTACGGTGATCATCCCAAACTTTGAATTTCACAATTGATGGCATAGGTGAGTATCCTAAGTAGGGATGGGACCAACCCGATCTGTGAGTCGGGTCTAAGTCCAATTGATTGGACCCGACCTGGATCACGATTGGATCTAGATCCAACTTATGGCTAGTTGGGTCAACCTGGCCCAACACAATCCCACCCATTTTCACTACTAACCCCAAGTTCTCAAATTGTACTGTCGATGCCTCGATAGTTGTGGAGGAGCATCCCAATATCTCTCAACTTTTATATTTGATAGGTAAATGTAACTGTATTATGGTTATATTGAGAATAAAAATAAATAAAAAAATTTTGTATAGAACTCTAATTTTTCGTATTATTTCATGGTAGACCCTCTTTCCGTTTTTTTTTCAAGCAGCATAAGAAAACTTCTAAAGATTTCACTATAAGATTTTAGCAAAAAAAAACATCTCGATAAGAGATGAGGGGGTACGGTAAAATCCTTAGGGATTTTTTTATGCCGCATGAAAGAAAAATAGAAATATGGTCTACCATGAAATAATATGAGAAATTAGGGTTTTATAGGAACATTTTACTAAAGAAAAAGTTTGTATAAGTTTGCAACTTTATCTATAGAAATAAGATTGTATTAATCGAAAGTAGCGAGAAAATATATAAGGACTTATGATTTCAATGAAGGTATAACCCATGATAGAGCAAAATTGCAGGCTAAGATTTGTGTAGTCAATCGTAAATAGTTGAAAAAAAATTCTAACAATGATGATAAAAATTGCATAAATCAATATTACCCACATGATATATATTGGACACTACCTTAAAAAAACATAGTAGGCATTGACACTCTCAAATAGAAAGTATCCATATAAAATATACAGCATAAAATATCACAACCTTTTTTCCACAAATGAAGTTGCTACGTCGTGAAAACGGCTCCCAATGGATAAAGACCAATAAGTGATTAGTAAATATTATTTATCCCACCATTGATTTGGTGATCTTCTTGAGGGAGGTATCAAACAAACTAGATCACACGTGATACGCACGACTAGTACTCGTGTGGGGGGGAGGGGGCATAAAGCTCTGTGACATTTGGCATAGGCGGGAAAATTGATGCAGAGGAAATTCAAAAGTTGCACGCAAGCAGAGACAATTGCTTAATATCAAAGTCGTCCTTCCAAAAGCATTCCCTTCGAAAAAGCACAAAAGGGGAAGGGAAAAATGAGATGGACCTAAAATAAAGACCGCTGGGCCCGAATCCCACCCTCTTGATCAAGGAAAATGACCGTCTGCCCTCATCAAAAGCCCAGCCCAGCAAAAGCTCATTAGTCCTAGATGTTATTCGACCATTTTTATGCGAATCAATGGTGGTTCAAAGTTGAAATATACTCGGGCTTGTATGGTTATTTGGATTCAAAATCAATGTTTTAAGAATTTTTTTAACAAAATTCTTTAGGGGTGTCAATAGGTGTCTCTTTTTTGCACTCACTTGGAGGTATTAGATGAATGGTAAAGAAGTAGATACCTGTGACACGATGAAAATAAATTTTTTTTCAATATATCGTTCTTTTGATGACCAATACCTTTAGGGAGGCAGTACCCCGATTGATCTTTTTTATCTAGAAGACCTCGAGCTGAAATTATATATTAAACAGTAGTGTCAAGAAGTATCCATCAATTGAGGATCTGAAGTAAATCAACATGAACCGTACTATCTTTGAGTTGGTGACACTCATTGCTGAGGCCGCCCCAATACTACATAAGATGTTAGTGTAGTCATATTCGTCTCTAGAATTATTATTTTTTGTCTGATATTTAATCGAATAGAATTATAATTTTAGAAGAAATGATGATACGACGAATATAAGAAATCTATCAAAATAATAACGAGAGATATGACAACTATTTTCCAACTAATGATGACCCATATCTTGATGGATATTATGAAATTAAATCAAACTAACTGAATTAAATGTTAAATTGATAAATTGCCCTTAAAAAATATTGTTCATTGTATAAAAATAGAGGACCATTCCTTCCATTAAGTGGAATTATTATTATTTTAATTCGTGCCTGAGTAGCTAGGATAAGGACCGACAAGGACAGGAGTAAATGTTTGAAGAAAAGACGAGGATCATTTTAGTCCTCCCTTAAATAATCCCAAAATACTAAGAAAAGTTTAGTTGGTAGGGCGTCAAAATCGCGTCACTAGACCAATTAATGGAATGACAACCGTTTGAACGGGAAATTATTTAGACACTCTAAGCGGACGGCCCAGATCTTCCTGACTGTTGCTTCTCGGCCGTCCGATCCAATAACGGTGCTCGTCTGCACGTTCTGCCAGCTCAAGGCATTAGGTCGGACATGTCAGCCACGGCTGTCTCCGTACCAATCAGGTGCCCATGTCGTGCCACGTCATCATAGGGTAAACCGTAATTAACAATTTTACATAACCAAAAAAACTGTGGTTAGTGTTAAAATTACGAAACTAATCCCACCAAATAGTTGAAATGACGAAAGCTACCCTCGTCCCTTCGTTTCTGAAAATTTGAGGCTCTCCATTTAAGTATGTTCTTGTAGGAAAAGGTTAAAATAAAGCCAAGCCTCACAAGCAGAAGTAAAACAATGTCTCACATCCCACAAAAAGTTGTAGTTTTGGAGTCGGAAAACCTTCTTGACCACTATAAAAATAAAATAAAATACGCTTTTTAAGCCTTAAAAAATATATATTGTAATATATTGTCTAGACCATCTATTTTTAAACCTTCATATATATCTACAAAATCTATGCCATTTTTTGAACTTATAAATTTCATAATAATCAATGATTGAAATCAATTTTAGAGCCATCATAAAGGTTTCCCATGCCCAAATTGTTTTTGGAATAAAGTTTTGAGGTGAGACTTTTTTTTTTCTCCGAAGCATAGAACTTAATAAAAACCACAATTTTTTTCATTAACTTGTCTATTTTGTTTTGCTCTATGTTTTAGAACCCAATTATGGGTTTTGGATCACCCACCCATTGTATTGATCTAGATTGGCGACCCAAGTGAGGTGAATTGCTACAAAATTGACAAAAAATGAGAAAATATTAGCATAAGGAAATTCCAGGGGAGAGATGCGGATCACCCACATTTGATTTTGATCTGGACAAGAGATTTCCCAATTCGGATCGTCAGGTTTAAAAGAATGTTTCATTCAATCTCTCCTTTTAATTTTTATAATTTACAGGGCAAAGATTCCTCCTAAATCAAGGGAAACCTAGAACAAAATTGGTAATTTTGGTATTTTTTTTGTTTTGTAGTTAAATACAAAGAGGAAAAATATCTCAATGCGGCTGATTAAGGTTATTTTGGTCATTTGAAATGATTGACCTGTACAGGTTCTCTGTTTATAATTGGCCCCTAGGATAGATTCGTCATTTAGTAAAGACTAAGGGTATTTTGGTAAAATTTCATGTCATTTATTTGACTCGTCTTCTCGTCGTCTTTCTTCCAAAGCTGGCTTGTTTCGAAGTTGCAGAGGAGAAAAAGAGGCTTTTTTGGGTGAAATCTCGTTGATTTTCTGCCATTCTTGTGTTTTCCGGCGCCACTTTTGCCAGAATTACTATATCGAAAATGTTAAATTCTATAATTTTCAGAAATCATGGCTTCTCGTGGTGGTTTCCATGATCATTTGAAGCTCTTTGATCTTCAACCCTAAGGTGAGAAACAATACTCTGTTTTTCCATACTTGTACATTGTGTTGGGGTTTGATCTTTCGATAACTTTATATTTGCGTTTTCCAGTGTTTTTGTTCTCAGAGCTCTCTATGGAGACCTAGATCGCTTGATTTGACGCATGAACTTTGAAATCGGTTCCATAATAGAATCTTTGCTGTTACCAGTTACTATGCGATGAATCAGCTGTTATGGTTATGAAATTTTGGCCAACATAGTTCCAGAATTTTATGTTAAGTTTATCTTTGACGATGGGAAGTTGATAGTTGATAAAATTGCGTAGGCTAACTTCTATGTACACTGTATGATACTCTTTTTAGCATTGCTGCTTAATAAAACCTAGATAATTCGTTTGGTGCAAACCTTATCACCTCATATAGTCTTCATTAAATCTGGCTGTTATGCAGTTTGTTGTTATCCATTATGCTTTTTTAATTTGGACAAAAACTGATTCAGATGGATTAATGCAACCTGTGTCAAAAAAAAAAAGCCGATGTAAATAATTTGGTATCTATTGGATTTCGCTGTAATTCTAATTTGGTATCTATTGGATTTCGCTGTAATTCATGATGGCTAATTCTGAAGAAGCTTGGATCACCTCCTATGTTGTATTTTCACCTAATTTGATGTCATTAACAGTCGTAATTAGCTTGTTTGTTAGATTTATTGTTGGATCAGCTGTCCTGTGATTACATTTTAAATTGAATAAAATGTAGGTATAGTTAGTACTAGTCGATAGCTTGTGCGATGCACAAGCACAACCATTTCTCAAATTTCATATTTTAAATTGAAACAAAATATTTTGAACACTAAAGTTTCATAAAAATGTCATATTCCTTATTTTTATTGGTAAACAAAGAATTAAATGAATTCTTGTAATTTTAGAATTTAAATTCATCAAATATGAAACTAAACTTTATTTCTTAGAACTCTATTGTATAAGGACAACTGATTTTTTGAACCATAAATATAAAATGGAGAAAGAAAATTACTCGACAACAAAAATTATAATTAAAGATAATGGAAAATTAAAAAGCGTCTTTCTTATTTTACCTAAAATTCATAGGTATATAAAAGTTTATTGCAAAATACTTTGGATCTTATAAAGTGCAAATGTTGTAAATCATAGAGAAAAAGTGGAAAAAAAATCTCAGCCGAGATCTTATTAAAAGATCCGACAAGATTTGGATAGATGTGGCTTTTGGTTCTTGGTGATGGATAAGAAAGGTTATCAATATAAGCTCATTTAGACCTATCTACAGTTGATATCCTCTTTTGACTCTTCGAGAATACTAGTCCTTGTTCTGTATCCAAAGTTACATAAATGAAGAGTTAGCTACTTCAATTTTAAGCTGCGACTTTATATTTCATGGGAGCAGTTTGTGGCCAATTCATGGGACCTGTTTTAACTATTTTATGAATAATTGGGCTCATTGAAAGGTTATGTTTGCAATGGTTTATCTTTATATTGAGATGAATTGACTTTGATTTTGTGACGTTGCAGAATAAGGTTTATTTCACAATTCAATTGTAACCAACATTCTTTGGTTGTTGGGATGGAAACTGATGCTGTTTGTACTTATGAGAATGGTGTAATTGAGGATCTTTCATCTGCTGATGGGTTAAAGAGTGCCTTAAACAAAGAAAATGAAATAGTAGATAACGGTACAAAGACTGTGGCCATATTAGATGGCACTGTACAAGATAAGCCTCTTGTAGGTGATCCAGCAAATGACCCTTCTGCTATAGAGAATGGAGGTCTGGTGACTTCTTGTGAAAGTAAAGGCTCAATTCCTTCGAAGGTAACTCCAAATGCTATATTCAATGCTCCCATCCTTTTTTCTCTAAGTTTTTGGTGCTGCACGTGACCATCTTCAGACAATGAGTAGCACATGGATATGTTGAATTATACTCATATTTTGTAGATTGTACATTGTCCTTGAATAGAAACCTGAAGCCGAACATGCTGCTCATTCCATCCATAGTAAACCTCAAAAAGATCGGATTCATCAGAAGAATGGGAGCACTTATTCAAGACCTGGTGGGAAGCCAAGCCTTTCTCAGAGTCTATCATTTAACTCGAAAGGAGTTTTGACAAGTGGCATAAGGAAGGGGATTGAGGGAAAGCCAATGAAAAATGATGGGAAGAGTTCTCGTGTGGAGGGCCCAGATAATGCTTCATCCCTTTCCAATGGCTCCCTTGCTTCAACGATGCGATCAAATCACACTGTGCCTCAGCCTTTTGCCCTTGCAACTAACAGGAGAGCTTCTGCTGGTGTGCATGCATCAGAAGGGAATACAAGTGGTGTCTCAAACAGGCGGGCCACCCTAACATCTGCTCCTGTTGCTAGGCGTTCACAGGTAAAAATGGTGGTTTTATTTGTGATTTGGGTTTATGACTTTATGATAGATTGGAAAATCTTTTATGATTTTTCTTCCACTTTTCTCTATCTAACTTTAATCCGGGTGGCTTTCAGTCTGGCAAGGCTATCTCAACTGGTTCCACTACTAGCACCCAGCAATCTGAAGTCATCAAGTAAGTGTCTCCTTAGTTTGTATTTCTCCTTTGCACAACTTGTTACTGGTTCCATCAAATTCTCGGTGTTTTTATTTTTCTTATCTAATTATTTATGTGATCCCAAGTGGATGGTAATCTAGTTTTGGATATTTCATCAAAGCTTTGTCTTTCTTATCAGTTTATTGTTTTAATGATGTAGGCATGTAGCATCCATGAAAAGAAAAATTTATGTGTGATGACTTCTGGTTGAAGCTAAGTTCTTTTAAATACAGGACACAAGATCAAAATCTGAAGTCTCTGAAACATGGGGTGAGTGGCAAAGATGAAGAAGATGCCCTCTCCACGACATCGTATGGTTTCTTACTTGAAATGGATTCGTTATGAATTTCTCTAGCTTCCAGTGGATACTCTTGTTTTAGTTTTTCTTCAGAAGGTGGTTTAGTCTTAATTTATTGTTGTGTTTTCAGGAGCCATACTCCTAGGGGGTTATTGTCTCGCAGAAGCAGCAGTGCTGGTTTTTCATTCAGGTGTGACGAGCGTGCTGAAAAGCGAAAGGAGGTTAGAACAGTGAAATGAGTTTGTTTTATTAAAAGAAGCAATACTGACAAAGCTCTTTTCTTTTCCATTAAGTTAAGAACTAGATAGGATGAATGACCGCTTAATGATTCTTTTACTGTTTGTTAGTTCTTCACAAAGCTAGAGGAGAAGATCCAAGCAAAGGAGGTGGAGAAGACCAACTTGCAGGCTCAATCAAAGGTGTCGGAGATATATATTCATGAGACAAGGGATTTGTTTTTTTTATGGTTTTGCTCCTTCCACTGCTGGCTGATATTGAGGTGTATAAACTGCATTTTGTTGTGCAGGAGAGTCAGGAGGCAGAGATCAAACAGTTGAGGAAGAGCTTGACGTTTAAAGCTACGCCTATGCCAAGTTTTTATCAGGAACCTGCACCTCCAAAGGTTGACTTAAAAAAGGTACTCCCATCTCGTTCCATTTGAATGTGCAAAAATGTGGTACATATATAATTAAATTCCTGTTGATTTGAGAGGAATGATTGCCCCTGCTGAATAACTGTTCTTCCTGATTTTCAATCTGGAATGGCCCTCCCTTCCATCTTCCTTCTTAAGCTTCGCTCCGCCCTTCCAGTAGCTCACCCTGGCTTCCTAGCCTCTTTCTTAAGCTAGATGTTAGGCTCACTTAGCCAGCCAAGGTCTCCACCTGAAGTGGTGCCTGCTGGTATTCATCCTCTTGTTCTGAGCCTTACACCTCTCAGGCCGAACAGAGCCTTTTCGCCTGAGGCGCGCTAGCATATAGTTTAAGACGAAAACCTTTATCGTATGTGTTGCATAACTTTGTACTATGGACCACCACACATTTAATGTGAGAAATCACGACTATTATTGAAGGAATGGATAATTCATGCTGCTTTCTGTTCAATGTAAATTGAAAAACTTACTTTTTTCTTTCTAATTGTTAAATGCAAAGTCTCACTCATTCTGATCAATCCACTAATAAAGTAGGAACTGTTCTCTGCTAGTATATTATGGATTTGTTAGCTCTACATGTTCAGTTATGGCATGTTGGGAGCTTATGTAAGATGTTGAATGTATCTAGACTCCCTGTCTAGGCTAAATCTCAGGGCCACAAGTAAGTTTTTACCTTTTGGGAGTAAGTTTTTACCTTTTGGGAGTTCCATACCAGTATGCGGCGGGGTGCTCAGGTCCTACATTTGTTATCCATCTTTATTCAAGGACAATGATTGATGAGTTGTTGCGCACTTTTACAGCCACCCTGCTTGGCAAGAATGATTATTCTAGTACCCATGGATAGTCTTGGACAGTAGATGTTGGATACGAGTACCTGGATACTGGTATCCGGTTCCTCACCCATGGATAATCTTGGACAGTAGATGTTGGATACAAGTACCTGGATACTGGTATCCGGTTCCTCACCTATTCATGTCATGAAAGAACTTTTTCCTGGATTGCTTGTTCTTCCAGGTAATCGGCTTCAAGTGTAATCACTGTGGAGTTTTGCTTTTATAAAGTTGGGAGAGTTTCGCTTTGAATTGTATAATGTTAGGGACTGCTTTACCCAGAGCATTGGTGCGGATAGGACTGATGTTAGTGTGTTGGAAATTTGCGAACGATGAAATGAATTGTGTCAGCTTCTTGATCATCATAGCAGAAGGCAGGCATTCGGGACTGTGTCATGTTAGTAATTTGGTGCTGACATTCCAAATATATCATATAGTGTTCCCATCCAAATTGGAAAATTATTGGAGGTACTTTAAGAATCTTTGCATTGCCAAACTGACCCATGGATTTTTTGCGAACTCTCTCTCTCTCTCTCTCTCACACACACACACACACACATACTGCATATACCTGTTGGATGTATATATATATCTATGAAATGGATTACATTGTTCTCTACTAATTAAAAATGCTTCTCAGTTCAAATGGCATGTGACTTATTGCAGTATGTGTACTCTGGAATCCATATATTGATTTGTTTTTTTGCCATAGATTCCAATTACTGTTTAAAGGATTTTTTCTAACTACATTCACCTCTGTTATTTAACTCAAACCTAACCCTAAATCCTAGCTCACATGGATTACAATACTCGCAGATACCAACAACACGCCCACGTTCCCCTAAACTCGGACGCCACAAGAGCTCTATAGCACCATTAGCATTGGCAGCAGCAACAGACACCACACCAAACAACACCAAGTCTTGCAAGGGCTCACGCCAGGGCTCCATGGACCAAGCTAACCCAAACCCACCCTCACAAAACACGGAAAACACTTCGAAAAAGCCAGTTCGAAGGTCCCTCACCAAAGCTCCTTCACAAAAGTCTTCAAATCCAAAGACTAAGGAAGTGAGTAAAGATCCTGCAAAGCCCAACATACCAGAGCCCCCTCAAACTCAAATTGAAGAAAATGGAAGTAAGATGAAGGATAATTCGAAAGAAAATAAGGTTAAAGAAGAGGATAATTTGACATCCATCGACGGAGGTTTGAGTGCTGAAGATGAAGATGAAGGGATGCTGAATTTGCCTGACCCAGCGCCAGAAACTGCCATTGCAGATGAAGCTGCAACTGTGAAGAGTTGAAGGGTAGTTTGCTTTGGTTTGGTTTAGTGTTGCTGCGCTTTTGTATTTGCATGCTAAATGTGTGAAGGTACAAGTGTTTGTGAATAGTGCTTGTGTGTGTGGGTGTGTGTTGAAATTTGTTTTTTGAACTTTATTTCTTTGCTGCAATTTGGCAGATTTGTTTGTTGGAAACGAGGAATATCGGTGCTGGAGTTTGCATGTGCACTAGTAAATATATAAGCTTATAGTTAATTCTGTGTACAAGCAGAATTTTTGCACTCTCTGTATGTATATATATCTCTCTCTCTGGATTGAGAAATTCGTGAATCTAGATTAAGATGGTTGGACTGGTGACATTTCCTCAGAAATGCTTGTGCATGAGTGTACACACACAACAGGAGCAGCAGAGTGGATCAAATAAAAGTACACTCGTTTGTATTCAAAGGTTCTAGGTTGTTATCTATCCAAAAACAACATAAGAACGAACTTAAAGTGAGCTATTACCATTGTTATCAGATTTGTGGCCTCGTTGTTTTGATTTTAAATAAAAATCAATAAACTTAAACAAATTATCTAAAATTATAACATTTTCAGAATGTTTTAATATATGAGGTATATTTTCCAAAATTTTGAAATTGTATGTATGTTCTTATTTATTTAATATTTTAAAGTTCTTCACTTATTTTATTTATGGAGATAAAGTTGCAGTAATTTACACTGTCTATTTTGTTTAGATAGTATATATCGACTATTATTTTAAAAGACATGTGAAATTTATACCGTCCAAGTAAAATGGACGGTGTAGAGCACAACCTTGTTTTATAAATGATATTGCAACTTTATACAAACCACAAGCTTTAACAAATTTTGGGTACTTTTGAGGCATTTTCAAAAAATTTCAGACATTATCATAATTGGGGAATGATTTGCGTCGCTACTGAAGAATGGTTGTTTGAGCTGAAGCAACAGAAACTCGATAACATCGGGATTGACAAAATGACATTGAAGAGTAAGTTGACGACAATTTTTTTAACAACTATTTAAATTGCATTTTATATGATAAAAATTGCAATATTTAGATTTCATTGAAATATGGGTTTTGAATAGAGCTTCTTTGGAAATTCTGCCTTCTAAATCTTTTTTAAGGTGTATTTTTAGGTACATTAATTGGGAAAGAATCTTTGCCCCTGGTAAGAATGGAATTCTAGTTTAGACATCAATGCACCACCGTCTTGACTACTTTGAGTCCAATTTAAAAGAGACTTTTTATGAAGATTTCAGCGGTTATTGTTCTGTTTTTAAACTATTTTTAGTTCAAACCATTTGGCTGGAACTCTTAGATATTGCTTAAATATTTTAGTGAACGGCCTTGAAGAGCCTTTGAAGCTTGGACCCTTGTGCACAGATGGTGCCCGAATTTTCCCAAAATTCCATAGCTTTCTCTGTCATTTATACATAGGGTCACTGAAAATTCAAGGGAATGACAGGGGTATTTTTGGTTATTTGAACTTGTATATTGGCGGGAATTTAGTAGATTAGAAGCAAAAATTTATGAACAGTGCTTAAGTAACCTGATTGTTTGATGAAAGTTCTTCAAAATTGGTTATCAATAGAAAACTACCACATTATTTAATTTAGGGACAAATTTATATAAGAACCTTAAAATGTAGATGCACTTCAAAAATCTATTTCAAATGTTGTTTTTTTGTTGATCATCTTGACATCCATATGTATAAATATGAAAAAAAAAAAAAAAAAAGTCTTTGAATTCCAAAAATAGTACATCTTGCAATATATTATCTAGACTGTCAATTTTCAAGATTTTCATATATTTATAGATCTACTTGATTTTAACCATTTTTTGAATTTAATTTTTTTAATTACATATGAGAATATATTTTAAGAAAATCCCTAGAATTTTTTACAACAAAATTACATGTTATGATAAATTTTGGAGTTGCGCCTTAATTGGATTGTTTAAGGTTGCAACCTTATGGAAATCACACCCCTTAATTTAATTTTAAACTACTTATCAAAATATACATGATGATAAGTTGGAATAGTTGTAAATATGTGAACGGTTAAACAATGTGTCTCTCACATAAGGGTATTAAAAAAGAGTGGGAGGTTTTTATTTGTCTCAAACAATATACCTATAGAATGAGTGTAGCAGAAGTGAGGATGTTGAGATGGATGAGTGATAAGACAATAAGGGATATAATTCAAATGAATTTATTTAGGAAAATTTAGGTGTGACACCAATAGGCGAGGCGATAAGATGAGAGAGAGTAGACTTAAGTAGGTTAGTCATATGTGGTGCATGCCTTGTACATCGCTTGTTGGGAGGTATGAGTTAGTTCAAGTAGAAGGCTACAAAAAAACAAAGGTTAGGCCCAAAATGATATGGTTGAAAGTAGTGAGAAAAGATATGAGGACTTATAGCCTCATTGAAGATACGACTCTTAATATAGTAAAATGATGGATCAGGATTCGTGTAGTCGATCCCAATAAATTGAAAAAAGGTTATGATGATGATGTTATGACAATTTTACTTTTATAAATAAGTTTGTTGCCTTTATAAATTTGTTTCCATTTATGTTAATACATACATGCCATGTCTTTTAATCTAGAGGAGTTGATAAGAACGTTATGTATTAATTATAGCCAGAAAAATGCAATTGATTGTAATACGTGACACTATTCTTAGATAACTTATTAACTATCCAATTAAGACCAAAGATCTATGAGTGTATATTTCAATTATGAGAAATGATCCTATATGACCCTCCTCCACCTTAAGACCCCAAAGGATCACCATTAAATTTGACGTGGATCTCTAAAAAAGTCAAGTCCCACACCCATGTGATAACTTTTTTAGAGATCCGTACCAAATTTAATGATAATCCTTCAGAGTCTTACACACATAGGTGGAGGAGGATCTTATATGATCACTACTGTTCAATTACATGGGTACATAGATACATAAGGGTCTCCCATTATATAGTAAACCTTATATGCTAAATTGAACTCTTTAATTCTTTATGCTAAAATATTAATCATAGGGTGTATACAATCCCATTTTTTTATATATCTCTACTCACGTATTATTTACACGCCACTTTTCTTTGGTGAGTTTTTATGTCTCGTGTAAGGAAGTGAAGTTATAGTTCCCTAATGCTTGAACAAGTGGGAGTATAATTGTCATTCATGATGCTCAATTCGAGCAATTCGAGCATAATGACCAAATTATCCCCTATTATTTTAGGGCTAAGCAATCCATAATAAGCAAAAAATAAAAAACAAATAAATAAATAAATGCTATGGTTCGCGAGTTGCAACAATGTAGTTCAATGGTCATATGACTCGTGCCTTGGCCTAAGTCAAATGGTGTAAATAGCCTTGATTTTCATAGGAACCCAACATATTTAAATGTAAAAAATATGTTTTTTTTTTGGGTAATTCAACGGGGATGATGAGCCCTTACTTGTTTTTTAAATCGTAGTAGTTTTTTAATGTGTTAGGTGAGAATAGAAGCCTAGAGTTTAGTTGAGGCACAAATGATGTTATCACCACGAACCCAACCTTATTCTCAATAAAAAAAAAAAAATCTTTTTTGGTAATTCAGTGGGGATGATGAACTCCTATCTGTTTCAAAATCATTAATGGTTTTTTAATGCGCTAGGTGGGGCACAAGTGGTGCTACCACCACTCCCCCAACCCCACTCTAAGTAAAAAAATATGTTTTATGTTAGTAAGAGTACACAAGCAGTATTCATGCCATTTGATTTGGACCATTCATAGTGAAGCTAAATTACTGCAAAGCACTTGTTTGTCTAGGGTTTCTAAATCCTATCAATAGGCAATTTGCAGTTTTTTTAAAAAAACCAATTAATGAGCAACTTGAGTGAAATGAAAATATGATGAAAAATGAAAGGATTTGGACACTCTAATGGTATTATAAGGTGGTTTAGCTATTTAAGCAATATTTTTATTCTCTTTTATTAGTTTGTTATTTATTCTCACATTAATATAGCTGATAATTTTACCAGACAGTAAATCGTATAATTAATTATTAAATTAGATAAGAATATTCACACTATAAATCATTTTATAATTATATTTAACAAATTTTAAATGGTTATATACTTTTATTTTGTACATCTCTGTATAAAATCCGACATCCCCCACATCGTGCAGACACCATGGGGAAAATTTCACACCCATCGTGACGACCAAAAATATGTTTGCTAAAAAATAATCTACGTATTACAAAAACCAAGGGTATTTGCTCAAGCCGTTCTACTTCGTGACCTCTTCGGGTCTCTCAGTCCCACTCGCCCTTCGAGTCTCTGTCAAAATGCTTATTTCCTTTGTTGCTCCTCAAGCGATCAGAACCAACTCTCTCAAAACCCCCTCTAACTCGAACCATCTGTGAGACATCAGAATTTTGAAACCTAGGTGCGTTTGCCGGCCTCTTTGAACCCTATTGTTCAAACTACATTTTTGTTAGGGCTGTTTTTTTTTTTTTGGCCAGTTCTTTACTTTTCTCCGTTGTGCTTTGAGTTATTGCGATCGTAAAAATCCTAACTGGGTTTTTCCTGTTTCTATCCATTGTAGCCTTTGAGGGTAAAGGATTCAGCACTTGAACCTCGTTTTTTCTGTTACGAGCGATCAGCGATGGTAAGTTTTAAGGTTTTTGCTTTTGTTTGTTGCGTCTAGTGATTGTTTCTTTTCTTTTCTTTTGCATTTATTTGTGGTGTTTGTTAGATATTTGGGTAACAGTCTTCTGTTCTGTAGCAATGAGGAGAATTTTTTTTTCTTGTATTGGCTGAACTGGATTATCTATTAAAAACTTTGCAGTAATTTACGGTGGTCTTTCTGGATTTGCTGGTTCAGTAATTAAAATTCAAAAAGTGAATATTTGGCTGAAGAACCCATTAGTCTTTTTTTGGGATTTTATAATGCTGGGAATTTTCTGCTCCGTAGTGAAGAGAAGATATTGTTTTTTTATTTTCTGTTGAATACATTAGATTTTCTCTGATACATTAAACTTTATGCTAAAATTTTTGTTATTTTTTTCCCTCTTGCTGTTGGAAATTCTAGTATTGAAATTGATAGGGGTCAGACTCTATGTTCAAGTTCAAAAGAGTGAAAGAAAAAAAACGAAAAAAAACGGAAAAAAATGCTAAGAAAAGAAAACAATTCGGTTGTTATATAGTGGAAGACTGCATACTCAATTTTTAGTTGGTATTTTGGACTGGGGATTTGGGTTTTGATTTGGACTTTGGGGTTACAGTCTATGGGGTTCTGTTTCATGATTTGTGGTCATATTTTTGCTATCATGAATTCGGAAGTTCTCAAGTTTTTGGATTTTGTTTCTTTCAATAGAAATGAAGAAAAAAACTGTGAGGTGATAATTTTGTGTCAAAGGCAGGTTGTCTAGCTGAAGCAGGAAAGATGGTGTTTATTTTTCTAACTGGGGTTATGCAAGTATTCTTGTTTATTTTGAGTTGGATTTTGTTTCAATTCGTAAGTTTTTGGATTTTGTTTCGTTCAATGGAAATGAAGAAAAAAACTGTGAAGTGATAATTTTTTGTCAAAGGCAAGTTGTCTAGCTGAAGCAGGAAACATGGTTTTTATTTTCTAACAGGGGTTATGCAAGTATTATTATTTATTTTGAGTTGGTGGATTCCGGATTATTTTTGGATTCTGGAATGGCTTTAGATTGTTGGGTTTGAGCCTATGTTTTAGGGTTAGAATCATGTTTGTATTTTGGATAAGTTGGTTGACTCATGGGTTATGTTCTTGAAAATAGGTGTTACGTTTGTTCATTTTGATGTTTTGGTGATTACAGTCAGATATTAGGAAATGGTTTATGAAGCAGCATGACAAGGGCAATGGGGCATCATCCCAGCCATCAAAACCCGCAACAACTGTCTCTCAGCCATCCAAGCCTGTAAATTCTTGTCCTCCTTTTAGTTTATTTCTAAACATTTTCATGTCCTTTTCATTTTTTGACTATAATAATATAGATATTTCTAATCGGGTTTTGTTGGCATTACCAGTCAAGTGTGACTGAAGAAAAAAAAGAAACACGAAGGAAAACTAGTAAATATTTTGCTACTGCCCCACCAGAGAAGAAACAAGGGGAAGAAAAGAACACTGAGAAATCCTCACCTGTGAAAAGAAAGATAAAAAAGGTCGGTACTGATGAGGACTACTCTGATGAAATTAAGCCTCCCACTGCAAAAAAGATTAACAGAAGTGAGGATGATGACTTTGTCTCTTCAGTTTCAAAGAAAAAGGGGGTGGGAATTAGTCCTGCAAAAGAAACTAAGAGATCAAGGGGTTCCATTGCCGAGGACGAGAAGGTTGATACACCTGAGAAGAAACCCAAAATTGGCTCTGGTAAACGCATGGTTTCTGTTGATGAAGATGGTGAAAGTGTTTATCTGGAGGACTCTACTCCTGTTAAACCTGCTGGAAGGGGTAGTGGTGGAAGAGGAACCAGTGGTGGAACGCCTGGTGGTGGCCGAGGACGAGGTGGCGGAAGGGGTGGATACATGAACTTCTTAGAGAGAAATGATCCACCAAACAAGGGACAAAAGGTAACCCATAACCCATTTCTTGTATTTTCTTTATATATACCATATACTCGTGGAGTTGGATTGTTAGGGATGAGGGATGATTCTTACGAACTTTTAGGCTGTGTTGTAGGAAGTACCTGAGGGTGCCCCTGGCTGCTTAAATGGTCTCACTTTTGTGATCAGTGGGACACTTGACAGGTATCATCTCTATGTAATGTGTTGAACTTCTTTGTGAGGTACGGGTTTTGGCTGGAGGTAGTTATTTAGAAATGGTTGTTTACGTTTGCAGTTTAGAGAGGGAAGAAGCAGAGGATCTGATTAAGAGCTACGGTGGTCGTGTCACCAGTGCTGTTAGCAAAAAAACGGTCATTACATGTTCCCCTCTTTTGTCAATTAGACTTGAACTTTCTCTTTGTTTCGGCTTCACCTGGATGCTTTCAAATTCAATTGCAGCAAGGTTTCTGAGGTTTTGAATTTGGGTGCTGAAAATGCGTAGCTCTTAAATTTAATCATCTGCAGAATTACCTTCTAGTTGATGAAGACATTGGAGGGCGGAAATCGTCAAAAGCAAAGGAACTTGGGTCTCTCTCTCTCTCTCTCTCTATATATATATATATATATATATTATATACACACGTGCGTGTTGCTGTCCATTATTAGTGAACTTCGGTTTGTTGTTATATTACAATATTATTCTCTGAGTCTTATCCATTTCAATTTTTTTTTATTCTTTCCTTTTGCTGGCGCAATATTCTTTTAGTGTGACTTTTCTGTCCGAGGACGCTCTGTTTGAAATGATTCGCAAATCAAAGCCAGCAAAAGAGCCTGTGAAAGATGAATCACATAAGAAAATCACAGAGAAAGTTGAGGAGATAAGGCCGAAGTTGAAAATAAAAGCAAAGGGTATGTCTTGGGTTATTCTTAAATGTGCTATATTATTTGGGTAGTTAATTCACTGCTTCATTTACCAATACAACATTGAAGTGCCATAACTGAAAATTTTCAAGTTTCAATCATGTCATTCAAAGGTTGAATGGTTGTTCTTTCTTTTGTCTTCTATTTATGTCCTCTCAAAATGTGATTCTCTTTGTGGAGCATTTCCTTTGTCAAAAACTAAATTTTTTGTTTGCAGCAGAGGGTCCAACAATCAAAGTTCCAATCCAAAAAGGATCTCAAAAGGTTTCAGATTCAAGTGTCCCTAAAGGGATAAGTAGCAAAAATTTAAGTGATTCCTTGACCTGGACAGAAAAGTATAGACCAAAAGTGCCAAATGACATTGTCGGCAATCAATCACTAGTACGTGTCTTGTTCCTTTCACTTGTTGACCCATAACACATCTTTTTGCTATCTATTTTCTATATAATTGTGATGAAATTGTCATTTACAGGTTAAACAACTACATGATTGGCTGCTGCATTGGGATGAGCAGAATCTGTATACTGGCAAGAAGACCAAAGGTAAGAGGCAGAGTGATAGTAATGCTAAAAAGGCAGTATTGCTTAGTGGGACACCGGGTATTGGTAAGACTACCGCGGCAAAGTTGCTGAGCAAGATGGTTGGAAGAGAAACAATTGAGGTGCTGTTTCCTTCCCCCATCCAGTTTGCTCTATTGAGAGGGGGCACTTTCTTCTTCAAGATCAAATCTTTAACCAAAAAAGAAGAAAGAAAAATCAAAGTGCCCATTTCAGTTACTCTAGTGTTGGCCTTGAGAGATATCTACCTTTTGAGCAGGTCAATGCAAGTGATAACCGTGGCAAGGCTGACTCTAAAATTGTCAAAGGAATTGGTGGAAACACGTCCAATTCCATTAAAGAACTTGTGAGCAATGAAGCTTTGAAAGTCAGTGGTGACCAGTAAGTTTACCTTGGTGGGCCAATCATTTAGACTTAAGGACATTATTAGGTGTTAATGTTTCTCTAACTACATGTTATTGTGACTTCAGATCGAAGCATCTTAAGTCTGTATTGATTATGGATGAGGTGGATGGGATGTCTGCTGGAGACAGAGGAGGTGTGGCTGATCTAATAGCTAGCATCAAGATTTCAAAGATCCCTATAATTTGTATTTGTAATGACCGCTATTCACAAAAATTGAAAAGCCTTGTCAACTATTGCCTTCCTCTTAACTTCAGGAAACCAACAAAACAACAGGTTTGTCCTTGTATTAGTTTGAAGTCCTTGTATTAGTTTGAAGTATGGAGCTTTATTAAGGTTTGTCCCCGAATTATGCATTTTACATTTGTTAGAAACATTTATCTTTTTGGGCTGAGTAGAATATTTCACACATGTTATTCGCAACTACTTTGGGGGAAATATCGTTGCTTGCAAGTCCTTATGACTTGTGTAGCTTTTCTTAATTTGCATTCCTTATTCACCTTCTTATACTTGACATTTTATGCTTATTGAAGGATGTAAATGGAATATGCTATTCGACCTTATAAAATTTTATTTCTAGTTCTTTAGAATTTTTAGTTACTATCGTAGCACTTCTGTGAATATGACAGATGGCAAAGAGGTTGTTGCAAATTGCTAAAACTGAAGGCCTTCAAGTTGATGAGGTAGGCATTTAAGGACGATATTTTAAACACATTTTTGTTGTTTTTGCTGGAGTGATCCTCCTCATTTATCTTATTTACTGTTGAGGCCTTATTGGTCATAAAAGAATTTTTTGAGTTGTAAATCATTGGTTTTTTATAGAATGTAATATAAAGAGCCTGTGCGTTAAATGAAGCCGTTATCTATTGTTGTCATTTCTCATATCTACACATCTTTTGTTCATGTAAGAAGTGGTCTTGAAGTCTTTTCCTTAACTATCAACTGGTCTTGGTGATTCCATTGGAATGAATCATCATAATTCAAAGTATTCGCAACTGCTTCTTTATGTTTGACTTTAGTAGTGTATTAACTCCTGTTTATAGGATAAGTGTCCATTCCTGGTTCCTGAAACTTCCACTGTGTAACCAGATTGCACTAGAGGAACTTGCTGAGAGAGTTAATGGAGATATTCGAATGGCTATAAATCAACTGCAATATATGAGTCTCTCACTTTCAGTCATTAAATATGGTGACGTAAAAGAGCGGCTTCTCAGCAGTAGCAAGGATGAAGATATATCACCTTTCACTGCTGTTGACAAGTATTGTTCATCTCCTTTGTTTTTTCTATTTTATTGGTTTACTGTTGCCTGCATGCCTATGCTATAAAATGAATGTTCATTTGATTGGTTGTAGCATTTGATAGTTGAACAATTTTATTAAGGAAGATTAAAAGGACAAGCACAGTGGTCCTTCTTATCATTGTGTTTAGGTTTTTAACTTGTGCGTTTTCTCATTATGCGCTGGATTCTATAACTTTTGTGATGTCTGGTATTTCATCGTGCAATACAATTATGGTGTAAGTGTCCCTGTGCTTATCATTCAAGAGTTGCTATGTGGGATTTTCTTGAGTAATTCAAGATAAATCATAATATCACAACTCTTTTAGCCAGCATACATATTTTGAGCAAATTGTCATCATTTTTATGCATCTTAGTCTTATTTGCAATGTACTGATTTTAAGAGTTGTGATAAGTGAAATCAGCTCCATAAACTTATAAAAGAAAATGAACTAGTTCCATATATTTCTGATGAATCTAGCGAGAAGAATCTGGTCACTGGTTGTTGATCATTGAATGCTTTTTAGCAAACAATCAAATAGACGTGTAATCTGAATTGCATGCTTGTTGTATCATAGAAGAACTTTCTAATCTTGATTTGTTTGAATTCGTCCTGTGAAAATGTAACATAGATGCCTAATCTCTTACTACTTTGGTCTTATTTTCGGCTTGATTTAATGTGTTGTACTTACTGTAGTGCAATCTAGGTGTTAAATATCTAAGAAATGCTCGAGGCATTTGTTGATAATTGGAAGATGCAGAAAGAAAGAACTCTTATTTTTTGATATAAGTATATATGCAGGTTGTTTGGCTATAATGGAGGGAAGTTGAGAATGGATGAACGCATTGATTTGAGTATGAGTGATCCTGACTTGGTTCCACTTCTCATTCAGGTTGCTGCTATACCCCTATATATGTTGTAATATAAAGGCCAGATATGAACTTTTCTTGACAATAAGCATTTATATTCTTCTCTCCATAATCTAATGTGTCTTACAATGCCGTTTCATTCTTCTTTTAAAGCACCTCTTTTTGGGGTAAATCAATTAAATGCTTGATATGTTGTTTCCAAATGGTTTTACCTAGCCTTTTACTTTAAATATCCTCTTATTTCCCTTCGGGCTGTGATTAGAGTTTGGAAAATGGAAATAGTTGGGTGGAGAAATCTGTCGCTTTGATAGGGAAACTGGGGATAAATATACTTTCACACATTGTGATGTGAAATGCGAACAGTTTATACACTAAATAGTGAAAACTAGAACTACGGCTCTTTTGATTTTGCTTGATGCTTTTGGGAGCTTGCTTACCAAACACTCATTGGAGAAGCTAGTTACCAAACATCCTTGAAGATTGGATCTGTAAATAGTGCTGCACAAGGCATCTTCTACAAATGTTTTCATTCAGCTAGCATAAGTTTGAATTGGTTTATGAATACTCTAAAGCAGCAGTTTAGAACCAGACTAAGGTCAGACTCGCCAGGGTCCTGAGCCCGTGTCACCCAGTTCGACTCGACCGAGTCTGTAAAAAAGTAACAAACTAGTCAAAATACAAGTGGGACTTGGGCGATTCTCTAGTTTCTGGCTAGGAATTACCCAAGGTCCTGAGCTGAGCTGACTAAGGGCAAGTTCTGAGTCAACCCAGTGAGTTTTAAAACGCTGATCTAAATGAATGATTTTGTTCTTAGGGTAGATTTGGGCTTTCTTAGATTGTACATGGAACTCTTTTCTAATATCTGATTAATGTTTTTCTTTCCTACATCCTTTATACTTAACAAGGAAATAGTATATTTGACTTTGTTCTTCTAATTCATTTGCAGCTTTTCATTTTCTTGTGGGTTCTTTGAATAGAAAAAGGATGATCTATCTCTGGTTCCATATAAGATTTGATCGATAGTCCCAAATTATCATGATAATTGCCTATATTAGTAGTGGACTTCAACTCCACTTAGTATTTTTATTGTGATCATGGACATTGCCATTGGGCCTGTACACCTTCTCGTAGGATGATAGGAGCTGCAAGGGATTTCATTGCTTGCCTGTTTCTTTTATTTAACCATTAAAAAATTTGGGTTCATATTTTTCCAGGTCAGTGTTTCCCAACAATGTGTGAATTGTACTCATATTGCTTTCAGTGCATTCTTGGGGGTTAATTTAGAGGAAACTGAGTAAAATATGGCCTTGTCTTTGTAGTATTTTGATGGATGTCGAACTTTGACTCTACCTTGCATATAGGAAGTCTGATAATGTTGTTTCTTCTATTTAGGAAAACTACATCAATTATCGTCCTAGTATTGTTGGCAGAAATGATAATGGTGTTCAACGTATGGATCTGCTGGCCCGAACTGCGGAGTCTATTGCAGATGGAGATATAGTTAATGTACAAATTCGAAGATATCGACAGTGGCAGCTATCACAAATTGGTTCCCTTGCATCTTGTATTATTCCGTAGGTTTTTCAACTCAGCATGCATATAATTTATGTAAAATTTTCTATCCTCCCCTGAATTGATTGAAATCTTGTTGGTCTTCAACAGTGCTGCTTTGATGCATGGCCAAAGAGAGGTTCTTGAACAGGTATAGATGAACTTTTCTCCTGTTTTTACATAGAAAGTGGCTAAAATTTGAGCCCTAGTAATTTGCATGAATATCCTGCCCTTTCTCTGTCTTCCCCCCTCCCCCCCCCTCAGAAGTTAATTATGACCTGGCTTATGTACTAATTAATTCAATTTGTCTTTGTGCATGAGGTTTTCAGTGTTTTTCTGTACTCTGTTCATATGATGTACAGAATGACTTCATTTACATTTCTCTATCAGTAAACAAGCAATTTTGTAACCTTGTCCCTTTTGAAGTTTAAGACATACCAAATGGAGAGAGGACCTTTTTAGGAGAGGATTTAAATGGACAAATAGGGAAGGATAGTAGAGGGTATGAAGGGGTACATGGGGGATATGGCTTTGGTGAAAGAAATAAAATGAGTGAGGTTATTCTAGAGTTTGCCATGATTTATGACCTAGCAAAAGCAAACACCTACTTTAAAAAACGAGATGAACATTTAATAACCTATAAAAGTGAATCACATAAAAGCCAGATAGACTTCTTCCTAGTTAAGAAGATAAATCGACCATCATGTAAAGACCGTAAGGTTATCCTAGGAGAGAGTTTGACTACCCAACATAAGTTCGTGGTTATGGACGTCTGCATAAAGACATGGAAGAGAAGGGGTAAAATTAATAGGTGTCTAAGAACTAGGTGGTGGAATTTAAAAAATGAGAAAATAAAATTAGTTAGGGATAAATTAGTTATAGAAGGAAAATAGAACTTTGAACATGAGGTTAATGTTATGTGGAATGAGATGGCTGATGGTGCCCCCACATGCCCATTAAGCGTTGGCAGCAGCATTTACTTGTAATGCCTTCTCCAGTGGTGTATATCCCCTTCCCTTTTTTTTTCTAGTTGGGCTATCTTGACCGGATAGTCTATTGTTGCACTCTGGAGACTGTATTAAGAAAGTGGCAAAAGAAGTTTAGGAGAATCTAGAGGGAAAAGAACTTTCGATAAAAAAACTTGATGGTGGAGTGATGAGGTTCAAAAGGTCATTCGTGAAAAACGATCATGTTATAAAACTTGGCAATGTAATAGAAATGAATAAATGATCAAATCTTAGAAGAATATAAAAAAGCTGAGAAAAATATTAAACAAATAGTAAGTAAGGCTAAACTTAAGGTATATGATGATCTATACAGTGAATTGGGAACAAGAAAATGTGAAAAAGTTGTCTTCAAATTAGTAAAAATGATAGAGAAAAAGTATAAGAATTTTAACCATATTAAATGCATTAAAAGTGATGATCAAAAGGTCTTGGTAAAGGATGAATAAGATAATGAAAGGTAGAGAGTTTATTTAAAAATTATTAAATAACAAACACAATAGGAACATTGCGGTAGAAGTAACCATTGGCATAAATGAGGGCGGAGGTCATAGATAAATTCATAGGATTAGGATATCAGAAGTAAAAAAAACCTTTGAATAGGATAAAGATAGGAAAGTCTTTAGGACCAGATGATATTTCGATAGAGGTTTGGAAGTGCATGGCGGAGATTGGCATTGATTGGTTGACCAAGTTGTTCAACAAGGTATTGAGAACAAATAAAATGCAAATGAATGGAGGAAAAGTACTATGATACCTATTTACAAGAAGACATACATGATTGTGTGAACTATCGAGGGATCAAACTATAGAGCTATGGGAGAGAGTGATTGAGCAACGACCAAGACATGAAAAGAGTGTACCAGAAAACCAATTCGATTTTATGTTAGGGAAGTCAACAACTGAGGGTATTTTTCTATTTAGGCAACTGATTGAGAAATTTAGGGTGAAGGGAAAAGACCTCCACATGGTCTTTATTGATTTAGAGAAAGCTTATGATATGACACCTAGAGATTTGATTTGGTGGGTGTTGGAAAATAAAGGAGTTTTCAGACACTACATCGACTTATGTATTAGGGAGCGCTAGCTAGTGTACAAACAACTAGTGGAGAGACGAGTGAGTTTTAAGTGACAATCGGTCTACTTCAGGGGTCAACATTGAGCCCATATCTCTTTGCCTTAGTTATAGATGACTTAACTAGGCACCACCTACAAGATGAGGTACCATGGTGCATGTTGTTCACAGATGACATAGTTTTGATCAATAAAACTCGAAAAGGCGTCAACACAAAGTTAGAACTTTGGAGGGATGCTCTAGAATCTAAAGGTTTTAAAATTAGCCGGACAAAGATAGAGTATATGAAATGCAAGTTTAATAATAATAGGAGTAGAGACGAGGAAGTAGTTAAAATTGACGGCCAAGAAATACCAAAAAGAGCGTACTTTCGATATCTTGGATTGATAATCCAAGAAAATGGAGAGATTGAGGAAGATGTTACACATAGAATTAGAGTTGGTTGGGCGAAGTGGAGATATGCAACTAGAGTTTTATGCGATCGCCGCATACCAATGAAGCTGAAGGTAAAGTTCTATGGGGACAACTGTGAGACTAGCTTTATTTTATGGTGCGGAATGTTGGGCGGTAAAAAAACGCCATACCCATAAAATTAGTGTAGTTGATATGAGGTTGTTGAGATGGATGAGTAGCAAGACAAGAAGGGATAAAATTCAAACTGAAAAATTTGGGAGAATTTAGATTTGGCTCCAATAGGTGATAAGATGAGAGAAAGTAGACTTAGGTGGGCTGGCCATGTGTGGCGTAGACCTAGTACAACACTTGTTAGGAGTTGCGAGTTAGTTCAAGTGAAAGACTCAAAAAGGGCAAGGGTAGGCCCAAAATGACATGGTTGGAAGTAGTGAAAAAGATATGGGGACTTATGGTGTCACTAAGGGTATGACCCTTAATAGAGCAGAATGGCGGAGTAGGATTCGTTTAGCCGACTGCAATTACTTGGGAAAAGGCTTTGTTGATGGTGATGTCCCTTTTGATCGGACCTTGATGTTCAAAACTATCTAGAAAGAGCTTTCTCAAGGTTGCAAATTAAATTGTCCAAATCTGTTCAAATGAGTACAGATGATTGGATCTCGACTATTGCCATTCCTTGTGGGCTGGAGCTGTTCCTTACTGTTCTGCAACACTCAGGTGCCTTTTGATTTACAAGATGATCCATAAACTATAGATCTGCATAAAGTCCACCACTGTCCAACAAACAGAGGGATGGATCATCTTTGTCATCCATGGAGGAATCTGACAGTAGAGGCCTGAAAAGATTATTCTTTATCATAAGCCCAACGGCCTGGATTGTAGGAGCGGGGGCAATCTGGATGGCTGAGAATGATGGGCACAATTTTCCCTACGATTTCTGGGCATGTCCATTTTATATTTTGTTCAGAGCACCTAGATGATGCTCATGTGTGCAAAATTTAGGATCCATCAGACTCCTCTCTCAGGGGTGGGGGGGGGGGGGGGGACGTTCGAACACTTTATTCTGTTCGTTCATTTTCTCTATCCTTCAATCTGGGCCATTGCTGCTGGCCTATCAAGATCATTTTCCTAGAGTTGATATGTTGCCCATTCGCCTCGTTTAGATGGGCCAAAATGAAATGGTGAGGGTCCACTGTTTTCACATAAGAGTATTAGCTAAAAACCCTCTGGACATCTTAATGTTTTCCCAGTTACAATTCTTCCATCTTTCCTTGTAGAACTGTCACATAAACTATTATATGTTGTAGGAGCTGGAAACCTGCTTTACTAAAACTTAGTTTGAGATTCGCATCTTACATTTGCATCTATTAGATTTAAATATTGTTGTATTTAAGTTTGCTGAACCTTTATGTGACATGAAAGTCTATTTTTAATTAAAGCCCAATTGATTTTTTTTTTTTTGTGTGTTTTCAACTGATTATGTTAAATTGTTACATTATCAGGGAGAGCGAAACTTCAATAGATTTGGTGGTTGGTTGGGAAAGAATTCTACAGCTGGCAAAAATTTAAGGCTTCTGGAGGATGTGCATGTTCATCTTCTTGCCTCTCGTGCTTCTAATGTGAATAGGTAGAATTGAGCTCCCATCAAGTAGATAGTTTTTCATTGTGGCTCTTGACGGCTTTTCAATGACTGGATTAATTGATCATTCTTGATTGTTAGAATTATTATTGTGTATTATCAAGTACTAGACTTTAAATTACATTTTTATGCTTGATGATGCATGCCCGTCATGATTGTGATATTTTATTGTTATGCTGCTGCATTTTGAACTTATATTCAATGAACATTATGTGTAGGGAATTATTGTGCAACTTTTAAAGAGCTTATGGTGCTGTGTTTTGATGACAAGATTATAACTTGATATGCTGAGTTACCTTGTCGGTACCTTCTATTGGCTATAGTTGATGGTTTGCACTAGGTTTCTTACGTGGTGTCCTTAGCTTGTGAAGGGCCTCAACTTTCTTTGGCGTATTCATGTTAGGCTTTTCAGCTGATATGCTTTAGCTATATTCGTTTATCATAATGATTGGATTGGGAATACTGTAAACATAAGAAACATTTTGATCAACTGAGGGAGTGGTAAAAACAAATGAATTATGTTAACAAACCTTTGGAATTTTTTTTTTTTTCACACAATTCTTTTCTAAAGTGAGCTTAGTTGGAATTTTCTTAAATAAAAGAAAAAACAAAAAGGAAGGAAAAAGAAGAAGAGATTTTGATTGAATCATATATCATTGACAATTGTAGACTACTGGATTTTTATTTCTCAGGTGCCAACTTTACTAGGAGAAGCTCAAAGAGTATTCTAATCATAGCTACCGGAATCTCTCCATTGACCTAGCGTTTTCGGTTCTAAAACCCAATTCCTTGTTTCTGTTAAGGAATCTCCACAGAAACCGTTTTTCGAAACCAAGGAAACTCGATTCATTAATTTTGGAATCTCGATTCGACACATCTTTAGAAACCATTTTTCGGAACCAAGGAAACTTGATTTTTTAATTTCAGAATCTCGATTCGATACATCTTTAGAAACCATTTATCGGAACCAAGGAAACTCGATTCCTTAATTTCAGAATCTCGATCCACCACATCTTTAGAAATTTGAACCCATTAATTGTGATGTTCCCAAATATATCGAATCTGGATTCCAGCGAGGATTAAATCTTGATTCCACGTCAATTGGAGTAGAAATCTTTCTTCTAATGCTTCTAGTGGTTGCAGGGTTTCATTATTTTACTTGTGCCACCTTGGATGGCCTTTACTTTAAATTTAAAATATAACTAGTAAATACGACACATGCAATTAAAAGTAAAACCATGCCGTTGACATGATCCTATTTTGTCTTTATAATAATGAAATCAAAATCACAATTTAGAAATACTAGTCGTTTGTATATAATGACCGTAAGTTCAATAATCAACACAATCACTTTAAAATTTGGGAAACCTTCTATAATAAGAGGCATCCAATATAAGTTCTAAAGTTGATGAGGTACAAGATGTACTTGTGCCTTCCTTCTCCATAAAAATGAAATTTCGATTCCTAGTTGTGGTTGTCAAACGCACTCCATAGTCCATATTATCGTAAATCTCGATCTCAAACTGGCATGGATCTCTGATCCATGTACTTCAGAAACTTGATTCCAAATATGTTAGAATCATGATTCGAAACAACATATATTTGTTCCACATATGTCAGAACTCGATTCCATAGATGTTGGAAACTCGATTCTGCTTATTAATGAATCTTGACTCTTGGAGTGTCGATTCCAGGAGATGGAAATCTCGATTCCAAGGAGGACGGAATCTCAATTCCGTATGTGGATGAAACTTGGATCTATTTCGATCGAAACACGATTCTCAAAAACTAGGAATCTTGTTCCTAACGATTCCTATCGTATAGACGACGATTCCTGAGACAAGAATCTTCTAGCCGACCGCGATTCTGTGTTTTTGATTCATAAAACGATTCGGGTTCCTAGGCGTTTCCATAAACTATGATTCTAATCCTCCCTAGGTTTGATTTGTTGTTAGCCTTCGCAATGTGCTCCTTCCATGTTTGAGGAAAATTCCTCAACTGCTTCTACTTAGGATAACAACCCATAGTACTGTTATGCAAGGCCTTTAAATGCTCAGTGCTTTTTGTTTGCAATGCTAATGTTTTTTTTGGAATTGATGTGTGTGTGTGTGTAGGCTACACGAATCCTAGTCTGTCATTATGCTCTATCAAGGGCTATACCCTTAGTGAGGCCATAAGTCCTCATATCGTTTCTCACTACTTCCAACCATGTCTTTTTGGGCTATCCCCTTTCCATTTTTGAGCCTTCCACTTGAACTAGCTCGTACCTCCTAACAAGTGTTGTACAGTGTCTATGTTGCACACACACATAAACATATATATATATATATATATATATATATAGATTGATAGATTACTAATACAAAAGTCTCCCATGAGTGATAGTATAAGTCCGGCTACATGTTGGGTGCTCAAGTACAAATGTACATATGTAACTATCAAGTAATAAAGGAAATTAAAAGAGAGGCCTAGACTAAATAAGGAAAGAGATGCTCTGGCAGCAGGCAGCCCACATATTGGGTTCTCTCCTACATATGATCATAAGTCAGCAAAGTACTAGAAAATAGATCTTTTATCATTAAAAAAAAGGTAGGCCTTAGAAGAAACAATCAGGAGAGAGGGAGGGAGTGAACGTTGTAAGTGTGAGAAGAGAAAGATGTTGGGGGAACGTGTAATGGGACGGCTAAGGTCAAAGATAAGGAAGGAGAGAGATGATAGTAGACCAAATGAGAGATGAAGGAACAAAGATGAGAGATGACAGATGAGAGAGATGAGAGCAGAGGGGATGTAGAATAGGAAGGGGCTTGAACATGGCATGGTTCATTGTGTGCTTTAGATTTCATGGTTTCCCCTTCCTTGGCTTGGGCATCTGCTGCTGCATTGGCCTCCCACCAGGCATGATGGAAGTTGACAAGTAGATGCCTGAACAAGTGAAATATATGATTGTAAATATGAGCTAGCTCCAAGGGCGTGGGGATTTCTTTGATGCTCACATGATAACATTTTTTGAGTCCTGGTCCCCATGTTTGGTTTAATCTTTTTAGCCCTTCAAGAATAGCGTTCGCCTCAGCCCAAGATGAATCCCCTAGGCGAAGATATCCTGAGTTGCTCGAGGGAGTGATCCCTTGTGAGCTTCTGTATGTGCCCCAATAACCACTATGGCCTGAGATATAAAGCTAACTTCTTTCTACATTAAGCTGATGACTCTTAGGTTCAGGGGTATCCTGTATGATGACCTGGAGTTCCTCTTGAGTTTATAGGTGAGAATGTTCGCCCAAGAGGATCCAAAGTTTGCATTTGAGAGAACCTTAATGCCTCTGATTTTTTGCCCAAGAGATTGTTAGTTCTCGTGTAATCTGCATTGGCATTGGTGGTTCTCTTAATGCCCCTAAAAACTGTGTTGTTTCTTTTCCTGCAAATAGCTCCATAGCATTGCAAGGACTGTGGCCCTCCATAGAAAAATGGCAATTGTTGGGTATGGAGGTAACTGGAAAGCTGTGAACAACTGTTCTATGGAGTTAGGTGTGGCCCATGGCCAAGTAAACTAAAAAAAATTGCAATTGCTATGATAATGTCTAGACCAGATGGTGTTCCTAAGTTCATGAGTTGCATAGCATGAGCTGCGAGTTATCCATCTTGGGTTGTTTTTCTTTCTTGAAGAATCTTAGCATTCAAAGGGGGTAGGTAGCAAACATATCAACACAATTCGTAGCAATGCTGAAACTCGGGAAAGGACATGGATCTATGGACGAAATCAAATATGCAGCATTTACAGAACAAGTATTCAGTATTTGGGAAGCATAAATAGTCAAACATTAAACTTTCGAGGGTCTCTATGAAGTTCAAAATGAAAATTAATAAACTTCAAAATAGCTTAATTTTATAATTGCCTCCAGACATTCTCAGTATCTATGTACAATTCTAGATTCTCTCTCACTGTGCTGAAAATGATGCATACTGAGAATTTCCACTTATGCAAGTGGGTGCAGACAGCAAAATCATGAGTGTGAATAGCAGTTCCCTTTTATTGTGTGCCGTTAGCGTTTTGCTTTTAACCTTCAATATGGGTTATTTTTCTGCTCGACTTTGATTGAGTTAGAAGATGCCTCTTTCTGTGCAATTTGTTTGTGTTTGTTAACCTTGAAAACGGAGCATTTGCCTTTGAAATTTGTCATTTAAGTGAGATGAGAAATCAGATATCTTGTTTGCTGTTTGGTTTAATCTTGGAGATACTAAACCAGGAGGTTTGCTACTTATGCAGGGAAGCCTTGCGAACTGACTACTTCCCCCTCATAGCAAGTCAGTTGACACACCCTCTTCGAATTTTGCCTAAGGTTTGAAGTATTACCTGCCTTTTTCTTATCACAAGGGAAGTCCTCAAACACCTCATTTAATATGAAAAGGATTTCAGGATGAAGCAGTTCAGAGTGTTGTGGAGTTCATGGACGCTTACTCAATCAGTCAGGAGGACTTTGACACATTTATGGAGCTATCCAAATTACAGGTTGGAGGTTTTACTGATTGTAGTTCTTAAATGTATAGAAGCTAAATATATTGGATTTTTACCCAGTGTACCAAGTTACTCTGGGATTCTCATGGATATTCAATATTCTTCTGGCTTTGTGAACATAATAAAAATGGTTATATTAATGACATAGGTATAACCTTTATAGTGAGCCATATTGGTTTATTATTTTGAAAATCCTGTCATCTGAAGTTGGTTGTTTTGAAGTTGGAGGCCTTTTCTTATATTAGTTGGCAACCTTTCAAAGAAGTAAGGTTTTGCCTGCACAGAACCATGGATGTACCTGACTATGAAACTGAATCTATGACATTTGGCCCTGAAATATCTGGATCAATTTATCACTTCTGTTCTTCTTTTTTGGATTGGAAAAATCTATTGACAACATGTTTGATAGAAAAAACCCTGCATATTTCATTTACCTTGAAAACATTTGGGATCCTCGAAGGTCCATTTTGAATGTTTGGTTTGAATTTATTGGCCTAGCTAAGGCATGATTCAGGCACAACGCAATTGCCATCAATGTATTCCAGCTTTTGATTTCTATTAGGATTTCTACAACTAAGTAATGATCTCCTCTATTTGTTGTGTATTCATATCATTTTTCTCAGATTGTTTTGCATGTTTCTTATATTTTTTCAGGGCCACCCTAGTCTTCTTGAAGGTATTCAGCCTGCAGTTAAAGCTGCACTCACAAAGGCATACAAGCAAGGTAGTAGTTCACGTGTTGTGAGAGCAGCAGATATGATAACTCTTCCAGGCGTGAAGAAGGCTCCCAAGAAACGCATTGCTGCTATATTAGAACCTGTTGAAGACAATTTAACTGTCGACGAAAATGGAGATGATGCTGTGGAAAGTGCAGAAGAACAGCCTTCTGATAATGAAGACCAAGGTATTGTATATACATCATAGTTGCAGCTAACTGTAGTTTGCATTTACATCATACTGATAATTCCCAGTGGACCTTGTGTGTAAGTTCTCTGTGATAAAAAAAGAGACTAAAATTGCTCCTCACGTGACAGGTGTGGTGGCGCTATTAGTCTATAACTCATAATGACTAATAATACAACAGAAAGTGTATGACAGTACTTGTTTATATCCTGCATGATTGTGAACAACTCTCTTGACGATCAGATCTCAACAATGAATGGCTATGGAATATCTTTTCTCCAATGACAGACTCAAGTTTTGAAGAATTTGGAGCAGAGGAATGAAGCCTCCCAATCATCCATTCTTGACATTTGACAATCGAGGGACCTGTTTATGTCCATGCAGGATGTAAGCAGGTACTGTAATAAATGGTCCCATAGCACAACATTTCTATGGGTCCGAGTTGGTAACGGAAGAGGTTTGGGATGATTGTTGTGCTGTTCAAGTGTACCCATCCTACACAGGCCATGGGGGGGGTGATGTTGATTTATACCGGAATTTGGGGATGGACATAATGTTGTAAACAATATGATCTCTTTCAAAGTAAATGTGGGGGGAAGTTCTGGTGAAAGAACCTGGTTTGACAACATGGTGCAAGGAGAAAATGTTCAATAAAACAAACGAAACAATAGAGAATGTTTGAGGCACAATGAGAGTCTAATTGTACAACCAGAGGGAAACGAAAAGGGTCGTTGAGATTTCTGATCAACCTCATATCCTCTACTTTTACTGCATGAATGTACGTGCACATACTTTAATGAGCACATGAGCACCTAATATATTTCGTTTTTCTTGGCCTTGGGTTACTCTGAAAACTTGCATTGTTAATTTCTTTATTTCATTTTTTGGGTCCTTGTTTCCATTTCCATTTCCATTTCCATTTCATCAATTTAATGCATGATGTGTGATGCTTCTTTCACTAGGAAGCAAATCTTTGATGGCTTTCTAATTTTTTCCATCCTTGTATCAGATTCTGGTGTAGAAAAGTTACAGTTGGATCTCCAAAGCCACAAGTCAAAAGGTAATATCAATCTAAACATGAAATTTGACAGCTTTGATACTTTGCTTTTGCAATTTTGCTAGCTGCAATGCCGGTTTCTATGGAATATTACTCAGTTTTCATGGCTGTTACTATTTAAAGAAATGAAAAATAAAATGACTTTAATTTTTCTTCATGGGTTTCTCATTCTTTAAAATTGAAATTTTATGAATCTAGATTGAAAGTAACATTAACTCAATAGCATGATAAATTTCATGGGTTTCTTACTTGATCAGCATGGAACAAGTAAATAATGGATTGCCTTTCTTGAAATTGCAGGCATTCGAGTAGAGCTGGATTTGAAGGACAAAGGAGGAAGTTCAACTTCGAAAAAGGCAACACCAAAGGTTAAAGGTGGGCTCGGCTCCGGAGGCGCTAAGAGAAAGAAGTGAAAGGCATTGATAATGTTGATTGCTTGTGTTTATGATCACTGTAGGGGCTTCTGATTTTGGAACGTGGTCCCATAGCCATTGTTAAGGAGCCTCTCTCTCTCTCTCTCTCTCTCATCTCGTGGGTTTTGCTTGCAGTGTTTCTGTACTTCTCTTCAAATATGTAGATATTAAATTGTAAGAGATGTCTGTGTTTTTCACAGACCTTATGTCATTTGGGGCTCATGTTATGAGTCAAAACTCCGAGTTTCAACTTAACCCGTTTCTTTTCTCAGGTGAAACTCTCATATTCTTTTGTCTTTTAAGGGAGCAGCCTTTTTAGAATCTTGCAGGAGGTGTTCATACACAACCCCTTTCCACATTTTTCCTAGGAACACTATGTTACACTTCTAGAATTTAGTGATGGCTCATCTCCATCCTCTGTCTCTAAGCATTTGTGAATGGTATGCTATGCTTTTCCTTTTAGAAAACCCACTTGAGATTTTCCTCGAGTATCCCATGAGATATTGTTATCTACAAATGTCAAACTCACTAACCAAATTGCTAATGATATTGGCCCTTTGAATGCATGTCACTAGATCGCCTTAATGCATTAGTGTTTTGTAATTTAAGATGTATTAAATTGATCATGTCAACCTTGAGATGTAACCTTGAGATGTACGGATATGAAAAAAAAAAATTCAAGTATTGGAAATAGTGCATCTTGTTATGCATTATTTGGATTGATAAATTTTAAAATTTCAAATAGATTTGCTCAATTTGTAATATTTTGTTAGCTTTGAATTTCATTATTAGGGGTAAAAATAAAATTTCAAGTCATCATAGGAGTTTCAGTAAATAGAGTTCATTTTCTAGCAAAAAATGAAAGTATGTCTTATTTTGATTGTTTAAAATTGGCCCTTTATATAAGTTGTCTTTGGAAAGGGATCTTCTATGAAGAGAATTTATCTTTTGTACATTAAGGTTACAATTATTCATGTCCTTTAAATTTACAAATGGGTGGTTGTAAGAGTGTCGTTGATTAGACATGAAGTTCCAAAAAAAAAAAATTATCGGGCTTCGCTACTCACCTTAAGTCATCCAATTTGACATTTCATGAGTGAGAATGATTGTAACCTTCATGTACAAAAGATAAATGGTCCTTTTGTGCACAAATTTTTTTTAAAATACTAATATTGTTAAAAGTGTTTAAATTACAATTTAATTTTTAAAAATACTAATATTGTTAAAAGTGTTTAAAGTAGGGTTTAAACAGTAGTAGCTTGGAACTACTCGAATCAAATTGGGACAGGCAAGTTCCCAGTTTGAATTTCTTCCCTCAAGCCTAATACACCCAATATAAATCAAATTGAAAAATTATTATAAAATTATTGTTTATGGAATGATTTGAAATTCCTAAATCTTGTTTAGACAATTAAAACTTTTTAAGAATTTTTTATTTTACATATTTCATTCAACAATCGAAACGATGGGCCATATCTGAGGAATGCCTTCGATTCGACGTGCCGTTAACAATTAGCCATTCTGGGGTTGGGTATACTAAGTCGTAGGAATGCAGCCGGCAAGTTTTAGCTCCTCGCTATGCACTGAGCACATACACTGGGTAACTAAGCTACTCCTTTCTTCACACCCAGCACATGCTAATGCTCTGTTAAAAACTACACAAAGCAATCAAACCAGAGTTTCCTCTTTCCCTTCAACGAAAAGGTGGAAAAAAGGGAAATATACGTAAGTGTAGGGAGGTAGCATATTTAATTGCGAACTTAAGTTAGCAAAATCTAGAATAGCCTCTCCTATCTCATTTCCTTCTCCAAAACCATAACCTCTCTGCACCCTTTCAAATCCTCTACTATCCTCCTCTACATGACTATTTAAGTCCCTTCTTAAAAGAGTTATCTCTCTTTTTGGCATGTATTAGATTAGTCCATCCAATCTTCTTAGAATTATCTCTTAATTTTGTTCATATCTCTTTTCTTTTTCCAAAACCATATCCCCATTGTACCTTTTCAAATCCTCTACGATCTTTCTCTACATGACTATTTAAATCCCTTCTTAAAAGATATGTCTCTCCTTTTAGTATGTATTTGATTATTCAATCCATGTCTCCTTAGAATTCTCTTAATTTTGCCCTCTAATTCTACTTGTGACACATAAAACACTAATTATATTAATTATCCTCTTCATTGCACAAATTTAATTTATAGGGAGTTATTATATACTCTACTGACGTGAAGTACTTCGTCATTCATTTACCATTAAGTCAACCACATCAGATTTCTTAAAAAAGATGATTTCACGTGAAATATTATTGATGCTATTATACCATGATGCAATCCCTTGTGTACTTAATTTATGATGTATACTTAATATGTCCCTTCATGGGCTTTCAAGAGAGCAACAACACGGATTTGTTGGCTTGCGAATAATCTTTTGTGTATTGGTTTATTAATTTCTCAAACAACTACGAAAGACAGCTCACAAAACATACAAGGAAAATTGTATCATGTTGCCAGGTATTATCCATCCTCTTAAAACTGGATGCAAATAGGCAATCCATCTAAAAATAATTGAAACTAACAATCCAAAAATATATTAGGTAAAAAAATTCCATCTTCAAATTAGAA